AGGCCAGCCAGCAGCGGACCAGAAACCGGGGGATCATCAGAGAAAGCGCCTCGGCATCGGGCGTCTCTCTCATGCACCGGGTCGATCCTGACCCGCGCCACCTTCCCAGATCCACCTGGAACCCAACCCCGCAGCTTCCGGCCAGGTGGCGAAGGTGCACCAAAACAGCTGCGACACAACCTGGGTCCTTAGCCAGCCAAGTCGCTGTTGCCACAGGCTCGTGCTTGCAGACCAGAACTTCAACACCGAGCTTCAAGTTCAAGCCGTCTGTCGGTCTCTTTACATCTTCTCCGGGTTTTGCTTTGAAGGAAAGCCACGAAGGAAAGCCACAAGGAAAGCCACTCCTTTCGGCGTCGCCCCCCCACCGCCCCCCCCCCCGTTTCGTCCAGCGTCCATTGGCCCGTAGGATTGCCTTCCAGCTCATCCTCCAAAAGTATCAGCGCCACAGCGCTTCCTGGTGATCACATGACCCATTGGTCATGAGCTTTTGTTTCATCCAACTTTTGCTGGGTGCACACTTCCCAGAGTTCCAGGGCCTCAGAGCCTCCCTAAACCCAAAACCTGACGTTTGGTCGCAGGGCCAGGCCCACGCTCCGCTCATTGTCCCGCTGAACCTGTCCTGCCACCTTCGCCAGCGACAGCACAACCTCGCCGAAGACCTTGGGGCCCGGCCCAGGAGGGATGTCGCCACACTGCGATCCGGTTGCCCAAAACCCTTATGGCCTGGCCCTCGGTTAGTCCCGCATCCCACACTGGAGTCAGCCAACTGGGACACCCACGCCAGCACATGTTTGTGGAACATAGTCTGATGTGCTACCCAAGTGGCTGACGTCCTCCACTACTTTGTCAAGGGTATCACAGAAACTGGGCAACCTAAGCCATTTTTTCTGGGTGTGTCAAAAATCAGGGGCCCCAAAAAGGTGTCTTCCTTTCAATGTTCGTTTGGACCCCAAAGTGTACCCTCGGAATTAAAAAAAAAAAAAAACAACATGGCCTTTGCCAACCCACTGCCAATCAGGCCCAGCCGGGACTTGGGTACAGCTCAACATGTGCCAAGCTGCGCAGGGAAGATCCCAGAAGAACTTGGCGCCCAGCACGACTGGCCATCGCATCACATGAGCGCTCCCATGGGTGTGCGGGTGCGTGGGTGTGTGGGTGTGTGGGTGGATGGGTGGATGGGTGGATGGGTGGGTGAGTGGGCGCATGTGTGCGTGTGGGTGCGTGCGTGGGCGGGTGGGTGTGTAGGGGTGTCTGTGGCTTGTGGGTGTGTGGGTGTGTGCCTTCTCTTTTTTTTGTGTGTGTGTGTTCTGTGTGCGTTGTGTGTTCTGTTTTCTGTATGTTCTATGTACTCCGTGTGTGGGTGTGTGTTTGTGTGTGTGTGTGTGTCTGTGTGTCTCTTTGAGGGCACCTTCTTTGGTGTTGGTTGAGTTTGAAACCAATGCAAAACCACCATTTTGGGGGGGTTGACAGATACCCAAATGCAACTGGCCCGGGTGTAAATCTCAATAGGGCCCCTTTGGCACTCTTTAGGTCGCTCTTTGCTAAAGTTGCAGGGGTACATAGGCAGTCTCCAACGAAAATCCGAATGCTTCCCATGGCTTGCCCGTGTCTTGCAAGAAGCTACCAAGCAAATCCAAAGAAAGTGCTCCACGGCTCCACGCCATGTCCGAGCACCTTCCGGACGAACCCAAAGTCAGCCCGACGAAACCGAAGCCGGCGCCTCGGCAGATCACGGTGTACGAGGCGTGCACCAGCGCCTCTGCGGGAGAGGAATCCAAACCCAAAATGTTGGGATTTCCCCCAAAGGACCTACGTCTCAGGCGGACGGCCGTGGAGCGGCCCCAAGAGACATGGCTCTGGGCAGGTCGGAGCCAGGCGCGGCACGCCAGGGCAATGAGCCCGACGGCCCGGCCGAAAAGCTCCCGAAGCCGCCGCGGCGAAGCGCCCGCCGCAGCAAAGTCCCGCAGACGGAAAACTCACCCAGGCGCAACACGTTGCGCGCAACGCAAAGAATGACAAAGCAGAGACAAAGGCAGAGCTCACGGGAGCAACTCATCCTTGGCATGGCGGGGCACAAAACCATCCAAGGAAGAGCCATGGGCGGCAGTGCGAAGATGTGCGACACTTCCACTGCGACCTGAAGTGCTCGTACTGAAACTCCTGCATTCACCGCGAGAGCAGTCATCAACCATCATCCAAGGCAGATGCCGACAGATGCCGAAGAACGGGCCACTTTGCAGCCGCGTGAGGCATACCAAACTGGCAGCGAGGGGAACGTGCCGAAGAACAGGGGAGAAGTGACACATGCAGCGAAGCCACCCTAAGTGTCTCTATGGCACAAAAAGGCCAGACTGCCCAGCCGAGCGCCAGGAAGACCCGCAAAAGGCAGAGGGCCAGCGGGGGACGGCAGCTTGGTGGCAGTGCTTGCGGCCCGTTGCCACGGTGTCCAAGTCTTCAAAAAAGCAACAACACATGAGGCACAGGACGATGTGTGGTGTTCCCCAAGAGGACAGGGAACAAAATGAGTGGGCCCAGTGTGAGGAATTCGGGCAACCCGGCCCCTGTCCTTCCCACTCAACCTGCTCGATTTGAAGAGAACATGTGCGATTCCATGTTGGTTATGTTGGTTGTGGGAAGTTTCGAGCTCGTCCCAGCCCAAATAAGACTGGAGAGGTTTGACCACAAACCTCGCTTCCGATTCCGGAGACAGGGCGCCACCAGCAGTCCGGCGATGGCGGCATCCTGAGGGCCAAGACGGGAGAAGCACGGGCACGGCCCATGCCGATTAAATTTTGGAAACCCAAATGGGTGAATCGGACACTTCAACCAGTTGTCAGGGTCAAGAGTTCATAACTCGGCTCTTTGAGGGTCTGTCATGCAGACTGCATCTGATGCCTGTTTACCGCTGCATCAGACTCTGCCAGCCATTTGGACAACAGACAGCTTGAACCACCTCACGCCAAGAAAGCTCGGAGGTGCCCTGTGGTCGGTCAAGATCGCCCACTCGAATGGTGTCAAAAGGGACTGCTAAAATTGAGAGCCTCCTTTTCCTTCTGGTTTATCTGCTGGGGAAGAGACACGCCCTCACACCGTGTTAAATGCTTCTTGGCCAGCTTTTTGATGGGCCGGCATTTGGTGGATTCCTGGCTGCAGACCCAACCACGAAATGAGCTTGACACCAGGCATCCGTCATCGGGATGGACTTGAACACAAAGGCAGCAAGAACGATGGCCACATTGAGGAGGGTGACAGTCCTTGGGAGGCGCCGACTCACTCATGGTCCTACAGCATCGGGCTTCAAATGAAAACTTTGAATCCCTGATTTTCCTGAGGAAAACGTGTTTTTTGTTAACACCACGCAAAGCCGTTTCAAGGTGTCTGGGTGTGCATCCTTTTGATGGCAAAGCTTTTTTTAACAAATAGGTCGAACTGAGGGAAGTCCGGTTGAATTCCCTTTTAAACCACCACCCCCAGAAGAGTACCCTCAAACATAGACAACCACAAACAAAAAACACGCCTCAACTCATCCGGGCAGCAGCAGCACAAGCAGCGCGGGGAGGCTGTCAAAGCGAGAGTCCTGGTGCCATCTTTGCCATCATACTGCGGATGTCGGTTCACACCACGAAATGAAACCATAGGAATGAAATCATAACGTTTGTTGGTAGTTACAGGGGAATCATCAGAAACCAAGGTTCTAAACAGTGGTGCGAAGTGCATTTCCTTCATCCACACCAGGAGTTCTAAAGTTAGGAGGTACAAAGCCAAGACTACACTGCAGACAGCATACTACGGCTTCATCCATCACTAGTGCAGGATTTGTCCATTCACATGGCAACTGGAAGTAGGCCCTTTCTCTGATGGTTGCTCCATGGTTTTCCCACAGTCTTTTCTGGTCGTGTTCCTATGGCGTTCCTATGGTTTGCCCAAGGTTTTCCATTATTTGGCTCCACTTGTCCACTCCAATCCGATTCCTACTCTTGTCCTCATGTTTTTCCTATGCTTGGTCCATCATTTAGCCTGCAGTTTGGCTGAAGAGACCACATTTGGAAATGCGACAAACAAGGTTCTACTCCCAGGTTGCCACAACATATGCAGTCTATGTGCTACATAGGGGTTCTGCAGGGGCTACATGGCCAGGGGTAGACCAGCAGGAATCGAAGCATGCCACAAAAGCCAAAAGCGAACAAGACATCCAGCGGTTAGGCGAAAGTCACCTAAGTGAGGTTGAAGGGGAACACGCCCCTTCGCTGACGTTGATAACCCCCAAAAAACATAACGTAAAATGTCTGCCTTTGCAAGCAAAGGACCCCACTGTGAACTGGCAACCCCGCCTGATTAATAACTAGGGTTGTCCTTTAGCTGACTGCACATGTCTTGGCTTTCAGACCCGGCGGTCTCCCTGCCCCATCTCCTCGAGCTCATCAACCACATCGCCCTCGTCATCCTCCTTGCACGCTTGCCCGGCGCAAACGAGGCATCCGCGCGCAGGCGCCCCGACACACAAACGCGGAAACCTCCCATGCGGCGGCCGGACGCCGGGTTTTCCGCCTGAGAAACCGTCGAGTCGGAGCAATCCGAGCTGACGCTCCTCCGCCCAGCCACAGGCGCAGCTCATCAGCGTCAATCCATGCAGCTTAGCAACCCGCGCAACGGAGTCCCTTGGTGCCTTCCCAGATCCATTTGTTTGGGGCTGAGTGGCTGACAATCTTGTGGATATGACCAATGCCTGTGAGCCAAATCGCAGGACAATCCTTTCTTTGTGCTTTCTGGAGCCCCCAAGCAAAAGAAGCAAACCAAACACGGAGGTCTCTGAGGTCGAGAAGCCTCAAGAAAGGGGGGTTGCAAGTTGGGCTTTTGGCCTAGTCCCTCCTCAAAGAACCTGGATTGCCATGGTTTACCCCAACAAATGAGGTCCAGCGGGAGTGAACCAGCTGCAAAGACGAGCTGTTGGGTGTACACAGGACAGCGCATCACTGATCCTCACTCTTTGAGGGCCCTGCGCGGCACTCCTCGCCGAAGCCTGGCAGAATCACTCGGATTTTCCAGGTGACAAATCGCCTGCGGCCATCACCTTCCACCATGCCTACAGATGTGGGCCTTGGCAAATCCGGGCGCCTGCGTTTGCAGTCAGCTCCTCCTTGGAGAGGCGCGTTGCTCCGGCACCTGTCCCGATTGCAAAGGGCACCAGGGGCTCCTTAGGAGGGGAAGGTTGGCAACTTGCAAACGCTCTGTTTTGGCTCATCTGCGCTGCTCCAACCAGTCTGTTATGCTGCTGTACCTATGCTTGACCGTCCAGGAACGGCACTTCCCGGCCAGGTCTCGGTGCATCGCGGCTCACCATCGCCCACCTCGCGGAAGGTCTCGGCCATGCCATCCTTGCGGAATTGGTCCTAGGCCTTCCATCGGTCAGAAGCCTTTCCGGCTTCGGCCCTCGCTCAGTTGGTGCCCACCACGTCGAACAAGATCTCCACGCCCTCCTCGCAGCGGCTGCAGAGCTCCGCTACCTGCCGATCGCTTTGCTGTTCTGATAGTGCAAAAAGAACCCTGGGCGCAAAAGGTACGCAAAGATGAGAAAAGACTGGCTTGAGACAACCAGGAAAAACAGTTGCAGTAACTGTTCTGAGACCGCCCAGAGCCAGCCATCTTCCCCGTTCCTTCAGCGCCTCTTGGTGCATCTTGCGCTCCTCCGCAGACCGGCTGTTCGTCGCGCACCAGGCCACAGCACCTCACAGAATCCCAAACCAAAATCGATCGGCTCAAACAAATAGGCAGTCGGGCGAGTCGGTTTCGTATTGGCCCTTGACCCCCAATCAACAGCCAAGGAAAGATAGATACTGCTCACTGCTTATCCAATAAGGGTGCATCAATCACAATTATGATATTGAAAGGAAAGCAGTCCCAGGGGACAAATCATCCTCATGCATTCAATTCTACTGCCAGCGCAACAAGGAAAAGAGTCCCCACACCGGCGCCACTGGGCTACAACATTTCTGTGCGGAAACCGACCTCGACGGCAATGCTTGGTGGGCATTCAATGCCTGCTGTTTGGTCAGCAAAGGATAACTGGGAATAGTGCCAGCTGGATCACATCTTGCTAGCAAGGTTCTCACAGAAAAGGAACGAAACAATACGGGTGTGTGTTTCTGAGGGGAACCCCCCACAAAAAGAAATGAGTCTTTCCTTTTTGTTAACCGAAGGTCTTGTGCCCTCGCCGTTGCACTGAACTGAGGCTCGCGCGCTGCGCGACCTCTTTGGCCGTCTGTCCTGCAGACGTCCTCGCAGATCGGGTTCGCATGGGAGCAAACTTGCCGCGAGTCCAACGCATGTTGGGATGAGACACGAGCCACTGTCATTCATGATGTCCCCTGACTTGTGGAATTTGGGGTCAACCCTTAACCCCGATTGTGTTGGGTTCGGTCCGTGTCCCCAAAGCCCAAGGTTGGGTCAGACCCCTTGAAGTGCAGTGGGCTGGTGGCTTGGAGAGGCCGGAGGGCTGAGAGCAGGTCAGTCGGCTGGAAAGTGAGAGACTGAAAGAATCGCGGCGTGGTACAAGGTGCAGTTGGGAAGCTGCAAGGCAGGGCGAATCGGATCAAACCCTTCAACGGACTCAACCGAACCGAACCGAGTCGAAGCAAAGGGCTTCGAACTCTTCCGCACGAATCGCACGCACGGGCGTGAGTGATGGGCTGTCGAAACGAACCCAAGCCTTGATCACGGGGAATGGCCCGAGCCCAAAAGCCACACCCGAGCCATGCCCGGTACTCCCAGGTCAAAAATTGACTCCCTCATTTACCAAATGTTCTATGCGTTGCAAATCAAAAAAGGTTTGACGGCGGCCCCCGCAACCGTCCCCGGAGCGCAGGGCTGTCATAGTCCACCCCCATCTTAAGCTCCAAACTCGGTCTAAGGGTCTAAGGCGAGACAGCCAAAGCAAGAAACCCAAAGCGACTCACCCCAACCTTGGCATTTGGTACTTAAAAAGGCGGCACGAGGCACCAAATGTTGACCACCCCTCACTTCCAACCCACGCCGCCGCCGCCCCGTGGCATGTGAACAGGGTTTTGAACTGGCAATCAATTACACACACACACACACACCAGTCTGGGGTCCTGTATTGGCTGCGAGGCTACCACTCAATCACAAACCAAGTGGGAAGCTAAGGGAAACAAGCCGTTTAGAAATCCGACTTGAAACACCGTGGGCCCCTTTTGGCTGGCACCTTGGCCTGTGCCCCCGGTCCAACCCTTCTCCCTCCTCCCTCCTCCCTCCTCCCGCTCCCTCTCTCGACGTTAAACGAGCCCGGGTCCTTGCAGCCACCAGCTCGGGATGCCGCGCCAGCAGGAACTGCGCCTGGCATCCAGCCCGGGTCCCGAGAAAGCTGCGAAAAGCGCGGCGAAACGCCCCTTTTCAGCGTGTCGCGTGCCCATGACAATGTGATCTCTTTGGCTCAATGTCTGCAGGCATGCCATACCTGGTGAGATGGAAAACGCCAAAACCCTCCCGCGTGTTCAAAGATGTCTTTGATGCGTCAGTGATTTCCGATAACCCAGTGTTTCGTGTGACGTCCAAGGAAACAACGACGCGCGCACTAGGCTCACACAGAACCGCCAAACCATGGACATCCATCAACCAGAAAGCTATAAAACTCTTATATTAAATAGAATGTTGGGAGTCCTAGGTTGACGATTTCATGTAACAGGTGATGGTGTGTGTGTATGTGTCACGTTTTGTCTGGGTTTTGTAGACTCATCCGTCGACCTCTGCCATCTGTCTAGTGCATGTCTCGCGTGTGTCCAGCTGTGTTGCATTGCTGCAGCTGTCCCCAACGCTATTCTAGTATGAGTCCTGCAACCGTCTGCCACCTGCTTGGCACATTTATTGGGTTCCTTTTGTTCTTGCAACCCGATGGCAGCCGTAATGCAACTGGCTTTTTCGGCCAGCTTGCCACGCTTGCCTTTCGTTGTCAATCTACGCTTTGCTGGAACAGCTAAGGCCAATGCCGCCGCCCTCAAGCACCTTGCAAAGGGGTGCGAGGCCTTTCAAGCTGTGGCCAAACTCCCAGCCCAACTTCAATGTTTGCAGGTTGCTTGGCAACTTCACCTCCTGCAAGCTTCGATTAAAGCTGCTCACCCACGGGGTCGTGAGACTCTGCAAGCTTTCAGGCAGATTCACTTCCTGCAAGCTTTGGTCAAATCTGTGGCCGAAGCCCAGGCTCTGCAAGTTGGAGGGTAGGATCACCCCTTCCAAGCTCTGGTTGAAGTCATCCCCAAACTGCAAGTGTTGCAAGTTCTCGGGCAGCCTCACCTCGCATAAACTTTGGTTCCACCTGCCGCCGAACTCCAAGCTCTGCAAGCTGCTGGGCAAAGCAACGTTCCGCAAGCTGAGGTTAAAGTCGTCGCCCAGCACCAAGCTCTGCAAGGTCTCAGGCAGTAACACACCCTCCAGGCTTTCAGAATACCTATCGCTAAAGACCAAGCTCTTCAAATTGCTCGGCAGCTTCACTCCTTGCAAAGGCTGCTGGTACTCGATTCCAAGGCTCAGGCTCTCCAAGCTGCTTGGCAGCCCCTCCAAGCTTTCGTTGAACCTCCAGCCGAAGGCGAGGCTCTGCAAGTTGGCAGGCCAAGGCACATCCTTCAAGCTTCGGCTAAACTGATCCCCAAGTGTTATGCTCTTCAAGTCCTTGGGCAGACTCAACTCCTGGAAGCTCTGGTCTGCAGAGGCGTCGAAGGTCAAGCTCTGCAAGCTGCCCGGCAAGGACACACCCTGCACAACCTGGGCAAAGGTTACGCCGAAGCTCACGCTCTCCAGGCTGGGCAAAGCCACCCCCTGCAAGTTCTGCTTAAACTGGTCCCCGAAGCTCAAGCTGCGCAAGTTGTCAGGCAGCGTCACCTTCTGCAGGCTCTTGTTGAATTTGGTCCCAAAATGCAAGGCTTGCAAGGTGACGGGCAAAGATACCCCTTCTAAGCTTTGGTTGAAGTCGTGTCCAAACTTCAGCGTTCGCAAGTTCGCGGGAAGATTTACCCCCTGCAAGCTTTGGTTCCACCTGTCCCCGAGCGTCAAGTTCCGCAAATTGCCTGGCAAGTCAAGCTCCTTCAAATTCTCCTTGGACTTGCGAGGCAGGGTGAGGCTCTCCAAGCCATCTGGCAGCATCACCCCCTTCAAACTGATGGCAGTGAATCCCAAAGACAAGCTTTTCAACGTGGCCGGCCATGTCACCTGCAAGCTCTGGCTGAAATCTCTGCCAACTTCCAGGGTCTCCAAGTTGCTTGGCAGATTCGTCAAGCTTTGGTTGAAGTCCCCCCAGTTGAAGCTCAAGGTCTTCAGGGTGCTGGGGAACTTGACGCCTTCCAAGCTCTGGTTGAATTGGCTCCCAAATGAAAGGCTTTCCAAGCCTTCTGGAAAAATGATCCCCTGCACCGGGTCGTTGAACTCCCTGGCCAGGCTCAAGTTTCGCAAGCTCTCGGGCAGCGTCAGCTGCTCCAAGACCGGCGCAGCTTTCTCCCAAACCAAGTCCGTGATCCCCTCCAAGGCCTGGCGTGTGCGCTTTTGCGCTTTTCTTGATGCGCGGGGAATCCCTTTTCGCCTTGGTGGGAATCCGAGAGGGGTCGGGACCCTGGTTCGACCCGGTTTCCCCGCCTGTTCGGCATCTTCGATGTCACCTCGTTGCAAGGCATCCCACGCATCCACCAGCCTGACTCCAGTGAAGGTGACAGTCACCTCCGCCGCTGCTCCGATGTTTTGGTCTTGAAGACTTCGATCCAAAAGCAGCGGCGCCCCTTCAAAGCTCAGGCTCAATGCAGACGAAGGCTTCGACAGCGCATGCCTGGCCCTTCGCAGCAGGTCTCGGCCCAAAGTGTCTGGGCTGCACTCCAGGCGCAGCTCCCGCCCGTCCAGGCACCGCAAAGTCAGCTCCATGCGGCACCACTCAAATCGAATGGGAGGACAGGGGGATGCTCAGCACACTTGGTCTACGTGCCTTGAGGTCGGGATGTCTTCAGTAGGTGTGCCATGTCCTGAAATCCCCCCCCAAGCTCTTTTGGCCCCCCACACCGGAGGGGCCTGTTGGGGCCAGCCAAAGGCCGCCGCTTTGTGCAAGGCCGTGATGCCCTTCTCGCCCACCTGAACGAGGCCGAGGCTCCTTTGGCCTTTTGGGCCAAGTTCGGTTCCCACTGCAACCAAAGGACAGTCCTATTGTGGGCTTCCCTTTCAACCATTGCGCGGCTTGCTTCAACTATCCAGAGTCAACACTCCGCCCATGCGGCAGGCTCACCCCGAAAAGCGTCAAGCAGGTTCTGGTTCCAGCATTGACCGCGAGTCTCTTGAACCATCCACATCCACTCGCCTCAAAGGCCAGAGCCACACTCCCGAAGCCGTCGTACTTGGCCCAGAACTCCTCCGAAGAAAACATGGCTTTCGGGTCACACACTCTGAGAAAGCTGAGGCACTGAAACCATAACGTTTGTTGGGATTTACAGGGGAATCATCAGAAAACCAGAGTTTCTTTGGTGGTGCAGGACTTCCTCCATCCACAGTATGTCCAACAATCACATGTCGATGCACTCACGTTTGTTCCAAATGCTCCGCCCGATTCCATTTACATGTAATCTTTCCCACAAATGGAGGAGGGAGGGGTCAACCACCCCCCCGGCATTTTCTTGGCAACTTGGAGCCTTTTTCAAGATTCCTGCCAAACCCTTGTCCTCCGTGTGGTTCTTGGGCCGGCCCCGCTGCGCAAACCACTTCTCGCCCCGCGCGAAGGTGCCGTCGGGCAGCAAAGGCATCGCACCAACTGCTGGGTCCCAGCCCTTGGGACACCATACAATGGGAAACCAGTCTGAGACCAGTGCTATGTATGTTCAAAGCCCAAAAAAGGACACTTGTTTGTTCCGCTCAGGTGCAAAAGAACCTGATTGAGCCCCAGTCGGGAGCGCCATTCCAAAGGTTCTCTGCTCTGTTTGCTCTGAGGCATCGTCGCAAAGGCACGAAACCCGAAACCAAAACGAAGCGTTTCTCGCGCCACTGGCACCTGCTTTGCTGACGGCCCGCGACCGCATACCTGGGAGCGGAGCGCATGCGCCAGACCACCAAAAGCCTTTCAAAGCTGAGCTGCATTGGGTCAGCTGACTTGGTTTCCAGGCTCCTCTGTAACCCGGTCACCCTGTCATTTGATAATGACGGTAGGCGGCCGGAAGAATTATTGTCGAAGATGCCACAGTAAGAAAAACAAATCCGCCGACGTTGCTCGGCGTGTCGGATACTTACTAGAGGATAGAGGATAACCCCCCCCCCCCTAACCCCCCCCCCCGCCCGACGTCTATTACGTAGGTTTGTGTTTTTTTTTTGGGGGGGGGGTCCCCCACGTACCGCGCGGCAATTTGATGACGTTCCACTAAACATAGTCTTCGGGGAGCTGGTGTCGCAAAACAGGGGTCCCAGGCTCGATTCCCCCTGCCGGCTTTTTTGCTGGCTTGGGCTTCCTGCATCCTTTTGCTGAAAATCTGGAAAAACTCAATGTTTTTGGACGTCCTCTTTGCGAAAACGCTGGAAAAACCGTGTTTTTTGCGGGAAATACATACATACATGCATGAATGCATGCATACATACATACATGCACATACATACATGCATACATGCATTACATACATACATACATACATTACATACATACATACATACATACATACATTACAACATACATACCATTACATACATACATACATTACATTTACAATTACATTACATTACATTAATACATTACATTACATTATTACATTACATTACGTACATTACTTACATACATTACATACATACATACTACATACATACATACATACATACATACATACATACATACATACATACATACATACATACATTACCATATACATACATATACATACATACATACATACTACATACATACATTACACATTACATTACATTACATTTACATACACATCATTACACATTTCCATTACATACATACATACATACATTTACCGGCTTAACATACATACATATAACATACTATACATACATACATTGCATTTTGCATGCATCATACATACTTACGTACATGCATGCATACTTACGAGAGAGGGAGATTGGGGAGAGAGAGGCTTGGGGGGATGGGGAGGATGGGAGCAGAGGGAGGGAGAGAGGACGACAGAACACACAAGGGAGACAAGGAAGAGAGGAAGAAGGAGAGGACAATGTCGGCGGACTGAGCCGGAGGCTCTAAAGTATATATGTGTGTGTATGTATATATATATATGTGTTGCAACCCGTGCTTTGTAGATATATATATATATGTGTATACATAAACGCGCACAAGGGCTCGTCCTCTTGACTAGGGCACAGCTCCGAACTCCGGGCGCCCGTGCCGGGGCGCCGCTGCGCTGGCCGGGGCCGGGGCCGCCGCGAGAACACGAGCCTCGCCCCGGGCGGGTATGCTGGCCAAACACCTCGTTCTTTGCGGCTCTAAAAAACGAACAGAACCCCCCCAAGAACGACCGACAAGAGCAGTGAAGATGCGTCTCTTTCCCATGCTCACGACTTTGTCTGATTTTTCCCGAAAGCATGGCGAAGGGTTCTTCCGCTGGGTTCACTTGAGTTGTTCTCATGAGAGTCATTACAAGGTGTCATTGCAAGGAATCGTCAAGGAGTCATTGCAAGGAGTCATTGCAAGGAGTCATTGCAAGGAGTCATTGCAAGGAGTCATTGCAAGGAGTCATTGCAAGGAGTCATTGCAAGGAGTCATTGCAAGGAGTCATTGCAAGGAGTCATTGCAAGGAGTCATTGCAAGGAGTCATTGCAAGGAGTCATTGCAAGGAGTCATTGCAAGGAGTCATTGCAAGGAGTCATTGCAAGGAGTCATTGCAAGGAGTCATTGCAAGGAGTCATTGCAAGGAGTCATTGCAAGGAGTCATTGCAAGGAGTCATTGCAAGGAGTCATTGCAAGGAGTCATTGCAAGGAGTCATTGCAAGGAGTCATTGCAAGGAGTCATTGCAAGGAGTCATTGCAAGGAGTCATTGCAAGGAGTCATTGCAAGGAGTCATTGCAAGGAGTCATTGCAAGGAGTCATTGCAAGGAGTCATTGCAAGGAGTCATTGCAAGGAGTCATTGGGAGTCATTGCAAGGAGTCATTGCAAGGAGTCATTGCAAGGAGTCATTGCAAGGAGTCATTGCAAGGAGTCATTGCAAGGAGTCATTGCGAGGAGTCATTGCAATTGGAGTCATTGCAAGGAGTCATTGCAAGGAGTCATTGCAAGGAGTCATTGCAAGGATCATTGCAAGGAGTCAAGTGCAAGTTGCAAGTGCAAGGAGCCAAGTGCAAGTTGCAAGTGCAAGGAGCCAAGTGCAATTGACTTGCGAGGAGTTAAAATCTCTTCTTAGGGCGGCGGGGTAGCGCCGACGACACTACACGAAAATCGACCCTCTGCGGGCATCGGCGTGGTCGAGGTGCAAAAACCCATGGTTTTTTTGCGATTTCTGCGGTGCTCGCGCGACCCTCTGCGGGGATCGGCGTGGTCGAGGTGCAAAAACCCATGGTTTTTTGCGATTTCTGCGGTGCTCGCGCGACCCTCTGCGGGGATCGGCGTGGTCGAGGTGCAAAAACTCGATGGTTTTTTGCGATTTCTAAAGTTCCCGCGCGACCCTCTGCGGGGATCGGCGTGGTCGAGGTGCAAAAACACATGGTTTCTTTCGATTTCTGCGGTGCTCGCGCGACCCTCTGCGGGGATCGGCGTGGTCGAGGTGCAAAAACACATGGTTTCTTTCGATTTCTGCGGTGCTCGCGCAACCCTCTGCGGGAATCGGCGTGGTCGATGCGCAAAAACTCGAGGTTTTTTGCGACTTTTGTCGTTCGAACTGGTCCTCGGGAGTTGTCTCGTGGTTCGCGCGCCTGCTCCCGGAACCGGCGGGTCGCGGGTTCGATTCCTCCCTGGTCCGCGGGCGGGCGTCGCAAGATGCAACTTGCATTTTAAAGCAACTTGCGCAGAGCAACTTGCGCAGAGCAAGTTGCACAGAGCAACTTGCGCAGACCAACTTGCACCGACCAGTTTGCGCAGAGCGCCTTGCCTAGAGCAACTTGCGCAGAGCAACTTACGCAGAGCAACTTGCACAGAGCAACTTGCACAGAGCAGCTTGCACAGAGCAACTTGCAGGGAGCGCAATTTGCACAGAGCAACTTGCAGGGAGCCACTTGCAGGGGCCAACTTGCCGGAGCAACTTGCGCGGAGCAACTTGCGCGGAGCAACTTGCGCAGAGCAACTGCACAGTGCAACTTGCGTAGAGCAACTTGCGCAGACCAACTTGCACCGACCAGTTTGCGCAGAGCACCTTGCCTGGCGCTGTCTCGCGCTTGCTTCACAAATGCTTCGTGGAGGGAAAAAGAACGCATCCTGCAGCGTTGGGCCGACCTCGCTTGCGATGTTATGCTTTCGGGCCAACCGTGGTCTAGTTTTTGTTTGAAGCCAACTCAGATCCCATGCAAAGAGTGCAGAATGCCACCCATTTCTCTTCCTTGGATTGCTGAAGAAAGAGTTTCTGCCAAGTCGATTCTCATGGCATTCCAGCCCCTGGCGTATGGGGGGAAGAAAAGTCGCCTTCCAAATGAGCTGCGCTGGCATCGTCTCGCCAGTTTTACAAAGTCGCACCAAAAAGCATGCTCATGTCCGCAGCCACGACTCTCTCAACTTCTGGGTGTTGGCCAGGGTCTTTTCACCACATGTACTCCAGCGCCCTTCCTTCGAAGGGCACCATACAAATCATGCATTCCCTTTGCTCCCTCTCCCCGTTCTGCCTGCCCTTCGCGTGGCCAGCCTGGCGCTCTTGCCGGACATTAACCCTGGGGTTTTTCTTACAGTGCATTGAGGTTGAATAGTCCCAAGCATGACCAAAGGCTGCCGTGGGTTGAAAAACCGCTTCAAGACCTTGGCTCAATGTGATACGTCTATCCATGGCGTGCTCAGGATCACGTCATTCATGGCCTAGTGATCCGGGAAGCTGGATATCCGGATATCCCAATGGTAGTATGAGAGGGAATATTGCTGTCCCTCGAAAAATCAAGATGAACTGAGTCGAATAGTTTGCAAGGGTCAACGCCCGCATGCCGCGCAGCCAGCCTTCACCGGCCCACAAGGGCACTTCTCGCCCTGGCGTCTTTTGAATACGGTTGATGGTCAGCGATAAGGCTTCCAATGCCCGGGCCCTGGCAAAGTCGGCCTGTGTTGATTCTCAGTTTCCCTTCTCGCCCATGGAGATTTTGACCGAACCAGGGCAAGCTTTCCGGGCAAGCCGCTTGCAAGTCCGTCCACGCGTGCCATGAATTCGACTTCAAACCTCAAAAGCAGCTGGTGGACATGAATCTCAACCGCGAGGTTTGGCCTCGCGGCGGCCGGACCAATTGGCCTGCGAGGGGACGCCGAGGGGGGGAAATGGCAACCAGTCTGACAAATTCCCTCTCCAGCTGTTGGTTGTCGTGTTTGATGTGTACTGTGTACTCTGAATGACCTTCTCCAACATTGGCTTCATTGCTGCAGCAAGAGTCTAAATGCATGTCCGACGTGCTACCCAGAGTCAAAATGAACCGTGGTGAGCGAAACACGAGCAGCTTGAAGCTTCGCCCCAACCACAAGTTTCCAAAGGTGGCAAAGCTTGTTCTGTTTCCCAACCCCGCCCTGCCCCCCCCCCCCGGCGGCCTTCCTAACCCCCCGCCTCGGCCTTCTTTTACCCCGAAATCGGCTCTGCCGCCCGAAGCTCTCAGGTCCCCCTTCGGGGGTTGCGCGGTGCGCTCTGCGCTTGCGAACTGCTTCGGAATCCCGCGGGGCGACTCGAAGGCCGCGCGCCCTTCGGCTGGACAGCTTGAAAAGGGATTCAAAGCACCCATGGGCTGACTGGCAAGCGGTTGACATGTGTCTCCATGGGAGCGTGAGACTGGTTTATTTTTGATTGGCCGCAAAAGCAGCAGGCCAAGTCACCTGACAGCTGCTGACAATCCTTGCCTTCCTTAAACTATAGCTGTCAAGCATGCTTGGGATCAATGTTTGGTACTCAAGCTTGCGCAGGCCCGAAAATCGGGGAGTGAACATATAAATATATGTATATGTATATATTATATATATATATATGTATTAATATATTCTATAGTTTGTTGCTGCACATGTTCTGTAGGTGAGAGGTTTGTTGTTGCAAATGTTTTGTTGTCGTGTGAAGCTTCTCGTAGCGCAGTGTCATGCTGAACAGCAACTGCACTGAGCTTGTGGGCTTTCCATTTGGTTTAAACTCTTGTGCATGGGCTCAGCTGATCAGGGTTCCAAGTCGATCGGGGGAGAGGGAGGGGGGGAGCTAAGTCTTTGGTTCCGGGGGAGGGGGGGCAAAGGAAATTGGGCCGAAGCCTTACAATTTGGAGCCCGGATTCCTCGAACATGTACAATGTGATTTCCTTTCCAAGTAGGATTTTACTCCAAATAAACTGGAATCCTGAATAGAATGTAGAAAGGACATAGTTCACCGGAAGTCAAGTCAGATGTCCTTTCCAAGTAAAGTGTTAAACCAAACTTTAAGTAGAATGTATATGCAATTGTATTTTACAGACAGAATTAAAGTTGGCCTTTGAAAGAAAACAATTGAGTAAAGCGGCATTCCCAAATATGACTTAAGTTCACCATATGTTTATGCCGCAAGAACTCAGGTGGCCTTTGAAAATACATCGAAGTCGAAAATAGATAGAAATCGATAGATACACAGATACATAAATAGATAAAGACAGAGACGGTTTTCGAGAGATAGAGATACAGAGAGAGAGAGAGAGAGAGAGAGAGAGAGAGAGGTGTATAGATAGACAGACAGACAGACAGACAGACAGACAGATAGATAGATAGATAGATAGATAAAGATAGATTAAGATAGAGACAGATAGAGACAAAGAGAGACAGATAGAGATGGATAGAAATATAAATATGGAGAGAGAGAGAGAGAGAGACAGACAGACAGACAGACAGACAGACAGACAGACAGACAGACAGACAGACAGACAGACAGACAGACAGACAGACAGACAGACAGACAGACAGACAGACAAAATAGATGGATAGATAGAGATATGTAGATAGATAGATAGATAGGTAGGTAGGTAGGTAGATAGGTGGGTAGGTAGATGGATGGATGGACGGACGGACGGAGGGATAGATGGATAGATGGTTGCAAACCCTCAAAAAAAAACAGGTGTCCATCACAATCCCAACAATGCAAATGGCCTCATCTTAACTTGACACTGCGATCTGTCACCTGCAATGTCAAAAGAGAGAAGCCAGATCTGTGTGCAAAGCCTGACACGCAGAAAAATATATGGCACAACAGTCGCTCAATGTGATGGCTCATAAGGGTACTGTTGCAGCTGCCGGTGGGAGCGTTAACATGGGGGCCCTGCCAGACTGCACGGCCCCGGACATTCCCCAAAAAGCGGACTCGAGCGGGCGAGACATGGCCGTCCGCGCCCAACCCGAGGAACCCAGGCTGGGAGGCAGGCGAAAACAGATCCACCTGATCCGAGAACGGGCGATCCTCAGGGCTGAGAAAAGAAAAGACCCGGCTCGATGCGCTCAAGCACCCTCCACCTGCGCAATGCAAACTGGACATGATGTCAGCTCCATCCACAAAGCTCCGTCAAGGTATGTCAAAGTAAAACAACAACAGAAACAACCCAGACAGCTCCAGCGCACTGATCACTCAGCCATTCCATTGACATGAGTGTGCTGAACATATGGCAGTCTGCTCCAGCACCAACAAAGGGCAACAATCCAATGTGACTAATTTATAGCGCTTGCTTGCTCGGCTTGCCTGGCTGCTTTTTAGCTGGAATGCTTTGCTTGCGCGCATGCTCTTGCTTTCTGCCTCGCTTGCGTGAGTGCGTGCTGGCTGGAGCTGGCTGGCTTGCGTGCATGCTCTTGCTTGCTTGCTTGCTTGCTTGCTTGCTTGCTTGCCTGCCTGCCTGCCTGCCTGCCTGCCTGCCTGCCTGCCTGCCTGCCTGCCTGCCTGCCTGCTCGCTTGCTCATCCAAATTCTAAGTATCTCACACCTCGTGGAGCCTGCTGCATGTCATGTGACAAATGCCACCAGGTGTCAGTTCTGGGCAGTGCTGGTGTGTGCGTGTGTGTGTGCGCATGCCAACTCGCCCGCAAATGGACAAGATATGTCAGGCCTCTGCCAGCCCATTGGCGCTCTCGGCCGGCGCGGCCTGGCAAGGATGCGAAAGGGCACGGGGTGTGCAAGCTAGGAGCACATCTCCTCAAGTGTTGCACACCATGCCAATCCTCCAATCCTCCCCTCCACCCCTGCCCACTTGCTCCCCCCTTCCCCCTTCCTCCACCTGAGCTTCCTCAAAGGTGTCCAGCGACTTTGCCAGGCTCCCATTTTTCGCTGCTTTCAGCAGGGATGCTGCCGCTTTCCTCTTCGTGCTTGGGTTCGTGCCTTGGCTTGTGGGGCTCGCTTCCGGGCTGGCAGTGGGGCTTGCACCGGGGGTTGTGTAGGGGCTCGCCTCACTTCTCTCTGCCGCTTCCGCCTCACTCGGACTGTCGACACCACGAACCGCTAGCCAGCTTTGAGGTCTCAGACTGCGCAAACTCAGCCGAGCAAATTTGTCTCAAGTACGGTAGTTACATACCATGTGGATGCGTGCCTTGTTGCACGACATGTCTACCAGATTCTGTGTGTTTCATCAGACAGGACTTCCTGGCTGCACTATGCTTCAGGAAGGTTGGTTCGGAACAGACTTGCTTGATAGTGCCTATATCGTTTGTCGAAGCGTGCGGGTCATCTGAACCTGAAATTGGGGAAACCGAGCGCCTCTGCCGGCCCGTTCGCGCTCTCGGTCGGCGCGGCCTGGCAAGGATGCGAAAGGGCACGGGGTGTGCAAGCTAGGAGCACATCTCCTCAAGTGTTGCACACCATGCCAATCCTCCAATCCTCCCCTCCACCCCTGCCCACTTGCTCCCCCCTTCCCCCGTTCTCCACCTGAGCTTCCTCAAAGGTGTCCAGCGACTTTGCCAGGCTCCCATTTTTCGCTGCTTTCAGCAGGGATGCTGCCGCTTTCCTCTTCGTGCTTGGGTTCGTGCCTTGGCTTGTGGGGCTCGCTTCCGGGCTGGCAGTGGGGCTTGCACCGGGGCTTGTGTAGGGGCTCGCCTCACTTCTCTCTGCTGCTTCCGCCTCACTCGGACTGTCGACACCACGAACCGCTAGCCAGCTTTGAGGTCTCAGACTGCGCAAACTCAGCCGAGCAAATTTGTCTCAAGTACGGTAGTTACCTACCATGTGGATGCGTGCTTTGTTGTACGACATGTCAGATTCTGTGTGTTTCATCAGACAAGACTTGCTGGCTGCACTAATGTTGACCTCATATTTTGAAACCCCCGCGTATTTGCACAATCCAAATCCCAGAACGTATTTAGAACCCCCCCCCCCGCAATTGCACAATCCGGATTGGCCCAGGAAATCCAAAAAAAAGGCTCAGCTCCTAGTGCGTGACTGAAAGCAAAACAGGCCAGGCCCTGCGATTTACCCAGCCACAAAAAGTCGTATTGAACGAAGGCGCTGACCAACAGCCAGGTAAGGAATCTCCGGGATCCGCCGGAAGCTTCTAATTACAGGCCCCCCTCCGTACGACCTGAGGGGGGTGGGGGGGGAGGGGCGTTTCTAAATATGAGGTGGACATTATGCTTCAGGAAGGTTGGTTCGGGACAGACTTGCTTGATAGTGCCTATATCGTTTGTCAAAGCGTGCGGGTCATCTGAACCTGAAATTGGGGAAACCGAGCGCCTCTGCCGGCCCGTTCGCGCTCTCGGCCGGCGCGGCCTGGCAAGGATGCGAAAGGGCACGGGGTGTGCAAGCTAGGAGCACATCTCCTCAAGTGTTGCACACCATGCCAATCCTCCAATCCTCCCCTCCACCCCTGCCCACTTGCTCCCCCCTTCCCCCTTCCTCCGCCTGAGCTTCCTCAAAGGTGTCCAGCGACTTTGCCAGGCTCCCATTTTTCGCTGCTTTCAGCAGGGATGCTGCCGCTTTCCTCTTCGTGCTTGGGTTTGTGCCCTGGCTTGTGGGGCTCGCTTCCGGGCTGGCAGTGGGGCTTGCACCGGGGCTTGTGTAGGGGCTCGCCTCACTTCTCTCTGCTGCTTCCGCCTCACTCGGACTGTCGACACCACGAACCGCTAGCCAGCTTTGAGGTCTCAGACTGCGCAAACTCAGCCGAGCAAATTTGTCTCAAGTACGGTAGTTACCTACCATGTGGATGCGTGACTTGTTGCACGACATATCTACCAGATTCTGTGTGTTTCATCAGACAGGACTTCCTGGCTGCACTATGCTTCAGGAAGGTTGGTTCGGAACAGACTTGCTTGATAGTGCCTATATCGTTTGTCGAAGCGTGCGGGTCATCTGAACCTGAAATTGGGGAAACCGAGCGCCTCTGCCGGCCCGTTCGCGCTCTCGGCCGGCGCGGCCTGGCAAGGATGCGAAAGGGCACGGGGTGTGCAAGCTAGGAGCACATCTCCTCAAGTGTTGCACACCATGCCAATCCTCCAATCCTCCCCTCCACCCCTGCCCACTTGCTCCCCCCTTCCCCTTCCTCCACCTGAGCTTCCTCAAAGGTGTCCAGCGACTTTGCCAGGCTCCCATTTTTCGCTGCTTTCAGCAGGGATGCTGCCGCTTTCCTCTTCGTGCTTGGGTTTGTGCCCTGGCTTGCGGTGGGGCTCGCTTCCGGGCTGGCAGTGGGGCTTGCATCGGGGCTTGTGTAGGGACTCGCCTCACTTCTCTCTGCTGCTTCCGCCTCACTCGGACTGTCGACACCACGAACCGCTCAGCCAGCTCAGCCCGTGGCACATGCACGTCATGCGCCTTACCCATCACAGCCACATCCACCTAACAACCCTTGCGAGTTGTGCAACAAACAGCACTGATGCAAACGCCTTCGGCCCTCAATGCTGGTGGAGGTTGTTACAACTCTTCCGGAACAGCTTAAGGATCCCGCTCGATCTTCCCATAAGTTACGTCTTCCTGCTAAGTTAGGACAGTTTTCTTGCTTTTGGAAGGGTGTGTTTCAAAACAGGCCTTAGCAACAACAGCTTCTAAGTCACCCTAGCAGAAAAAGGGAACCCTCTTTCATGGCTGCCCGCTTTCACGACCAAAACCAAAAGGGATTCGAAGGTTGGAATTCGCTGGTCAAATTCCCCGCACAATCCTACGAGCCGCAAGTTTCGGCCTGCGACTGCGCCACTGCATTGGCGGCCACTGCGTCAGTGGCCTGCGAAATTGGGCATATGATTTGTCGTGTCGCGCATCTGTGTGCGGGTGTGAGTTGCGTGAGTGGTCCTCGGGGTTGGGCGGAGGGGGTCTTTCACTTTGGATCTCAGATCCGTGGCTTCCTATAGAGCCGAAGCCGATCGGGAAGGCCTTTGCGGTGCCTTTGCGGTGCCTTTGCGGTGCCTCACCTCGCATGTCTAAAGGAAAGCCATAGAACACTAAATTCAGAGGATTCCCTTCCAGAACAAACCCGCTCGGGGTGCGTGGGAACCTTGAACTCCGGCTTTTCGTGCGGAAGGTCGCCGCAAAGAGCCTGTGTCCCAAAGAAAGCGACCGCCCTTCAGCGGCTTCTCGGCATCTGGGAACATCCGACCACCCTTCTTTTGAAGTTAGAACCCCCTGTAGCTTGCAGCTCTCTGGGGGAAACTCCAAAAGCTTCCACAGTCCAAGCCCACTGGGCGCCGGGCGAACCGCAGCACTTCCTCGACCGCCAAAGCTGCCGCCGCCGCAGCCTCACAGCAGGACACTCAGCCCAGATGGAAGACGAAACCAGCTCTCCTTGGAAGAAAGGGAGATATTGATACTGGCGCATCTGGAGACTCAGAACTCATAATGCGGTTGAACAGGAAGATGTGGTTGTGTGGCGGACTGGTGAGAGGTGGAAACACTCGCGGAAACACTGTTTTCGGTCACTCCTCACAACAACCAGCTGGCCCTTGCCGGGAAGTCTCGAGCACCGTCGTCGAAACACACTTGGCGCCGGCCAATGCCCATCTTGACAACAGGCAAAGTAAGCCTCCCAAATGAGGAAGTGCATCGAAAAGCCGCTGCACCCGTCCAAATAGCTATGGTCTCCTGTGTGGGTTTGATGCCCCAGCGGGGCAACTGGGTGTGACGCCTTCGGGATAGTCCGATTGGAAATATAGTCTTGCAGTGCAAATGGGTGAAAGCCTGAAGTGGGTGCCCTAGAAACGTGAGACGGTGCGCGCCCACCCGGATGTTCCTTCGGATTCCCCCGAACCCCAAAAAAGGGATCCCGTTGCGAGAGGATCACTACGAGCGCTGGGGCCCGTGCAGCCTGCCTGGTATCCCGCGGGGCTTCCTCGCGCGAGCTTTGCTTTCCAACGTGAGGCGCCTGGTTCTGTGGGCCCATTGCAGCTGCCCTTTAAGCACTTCACGAAACCTTGATGGCCAGGGTCCTGGGTAAAACCCTACGAGTGGAGAGGCGAAATTGGCGGATGCCAGCCGTTGGGACAAACAGCATCCCAATTGCCCAGTGGCACAGAAAGAAAGACGGAACCCTTCTTGGTTGACATCCTTTGAGAACCCACCCAGCAAAAAGGGAAAAGGGGTACCATCTCCACTTAACAACTGGGGCATTCAGGCAGTTCCAGCAGCTCTTCTGCCATCAAGTGCGCCTCCATTCTTTGCGGCCTTGATGGCCGGAACTCCACCTGGAGCTGCTCAACCGATGTTCTAAGCGGGAGCCTGCATGTGCGTGCGTGGTTCATGTTTGTGACGCTTTGCGGAAAAATTGGGCGTGAGACAGCACAAATGGCCTGGGGTTCCTCTTTTGTGAATGCCTTTACACCTGGGTGACATAGGTGCCATTGAAATCACAGACTTCAGCAGGCATAGCAGGCCTTGGTCGAGCTCTCGGTCTCCCTGGACGCGACAAGACGAAGATTCGGCGTCAACAAAATGGAGAGTCAGACGTCAAGAGCCTGTCCAGCTTTCAGGAGTCTTGGTGGAACCCAAATGCTGCTTGCACAGAGGATGTTGAAGATTATCAAAGACATAAAAATGACGAGGGCCGAATAACCGAACAATGGTGTTTGCTGACAAAATCAAACCGTCATGTGTGTGTGTGTGTGGTGTGCGTGTGTGTGTGTGTGTGTCTTATATCCAAATCAATCAAAAAACAGCTGACCAAGCCAGGAGCTTCGCAACACAGCCACACAGCCACACAGGGGCCATCTGCGTGTGATTGTTCTGTAGGTGCCCTTTGTAGTTTGGCTCAAAGGAGAACCAAACGAGAAACCACCGTTCTTTTGGTAAAACCAAGCTGCTCGCTTACCGCGCCTGGGCTCGGAGATCCGAGCTCGGAGCTTCTCCTGAACCGAAACTCCTTATGGTTGCCACGGTCTTGGCTCCTTACCGGGGTTGGTCACCACCCCAACCAACCCCAAGTAGGATCTTTTGACCATGGCGCGCGTATGTTGCAGGGCCATACGGGAAGGCCTGAGTACGGCCTTCATGTTGGGGATGTGTGTACGTGCCCTTTCTTGAGGAGCCCTTTTTGGGGTTGGTTTTGGTGTGGGGTTTGGAGGGTACGGTCGGAGCTTCCATCTCCTTTGGCTCCTTCAGTCAAAAGAGTGCTACTCAGATGTCAGTAGGACGACACACCATTGTGGTAATGAAACGCGATGGCACAAAGAATCCTGCCCTTCAAACCACCCCCGCACCCCCTCCTCCAAAGAAGAAAAATAAGCCCAGCCACCATCCCCAACAAAGACCCCGTTTGCCCGGCCTGGCGCTCAGGCGGCGCCCTGACACCCGGGGCAATCATGCTCGCGCTAATTCGAGAGTGCCAGCCTCGGCCCATCCCAAAGAGAGGTCCCCTATTTTGAGACAGACCCAAAGAGTCGTGGTCCGAAAAGTTATAAGATTCAGGGTCGTAGCAAGGGAAACCAAGCAGCCTGTAAGGAATTAAAACAAAGGAGACACAGAGAGAACACCCACTGGCGAGGGCTTTGAGAACTGGGTGAAAGCAGATGAACCATCTGGTCCGCCTTCCAGCTTTCCACATTCCGCCATCTGTGTCGGGTCTTCCGCAGCCCCCCGCGGCCTGGACTTTGGAGGTCTCGTCCTTTCCTGCACAGGGGATACGCACCTTTCCGCCCTTCCGCATGCCACTGCCCTGGGTGTTGCTCCAAAATCGGGGACTCCCAAATTGAAACCAAAGAAGGTCAACCTTTTTGGAGCACCCCCCCCAACCGGTAGTTGGGACCACATCTCACGATCCCTCAGCTCACGCGCCTTGCCGGCCTTCTTGGACTGCTGACGATTTTTCCTGACAAAGTGAAAGCGCGGAGTACCCATAGTTGGTGGTTCGCATCGGCTGCGATTGTGAACCCAATCCAATCCCACTAGCCACACCTGAGGCGGAGTGCGCGAGCCAGTGGGCTCCTTTAACACCTTTCTTTAACCATGAGCGAACCATGGTACCGGTCCCAGCTGGGAACTCTGTCTCTTGGTTCCATGGATGTCAAACCCGAGCAAAAGTGCTAGGACATGAACATGCTGGAACCAGCCCCTGAACTGGCTATGATTTCTGATGTCCAAAGACAACACTTGAACAAGTCCATCCAGGAATTCTCAAACGAAAACGAGAAATGTCCAAAACCCAGAGCTCATGAGCCCTCCCCACCCCCCGCCTGGGCCTTGGGGCGCCCCAAAGCTCCCGGCGCTTCTCTGGCGGCACCCCCACCAGCAGCGCCTGGAGGTCCTTTCCAGGAGCAAAACCAAAAAAACCAACTCTTTGCAACAAGGGAATCCAATGAGGAACTCCTGCCTCCGCTGCGACAGACCTCTGTGAGGTGCGCGACAGCAGCAACTGCGTCGGGAGGCGGATCTTGGGAGTCTCTATGACCCGTGGCCAACGAACGCGCCATAAGGCTTACTGAAAGCTGTGCAAGAAAATAACGCTCGAAATCAAGTGAAACCCCCGGATACAATCAGCTCGCCCTCTCTACATCCTTGCGATCAATCTGAGCTTCAACTAGTCTTCCCCAGGTGCAAGAAAAAAAGAAAACAAGAGCCCGTTTCATGTGTGGGGAAGAGAGGAGGGGACGTTCCGCCTCCCGTGCGTCACGCCCCCCTTGAATGCCTTGAAGAGCTTGGCCGGGTTCTTCGAAGCGATGCGCAGGGAGTGGAGCGCCATGAGGAACCCCTCCTCCGAAGCCCGTCACATTGTTGTCTTTTTTTTCTTCCCCCCGATGCAAAGGACAATGCCCGGACCCCCAGCCCAAATCATGTGTAAAAAAAGTTCCTCCCGGTCCATGGTGACACCATGTCAATTGAGTTGCAACTAAAGAACTCGGCAAAAAGATTGGGTTCAGATTCCTGGGATTGGTTCCAAGCCCCATATCCCGCTTGCAACATACTCGGTTGCCCAGTGGAGGCCGTCACAATCCAAGGAGCTTAAAAACTGCTCGGAGGCAACAAACTCAACTGGCAACCGCATCGAGCTGCACAAAAAATACCAGCTGGGGCTTCTGCAGGAGTGTTCAAATCTTAACCAAGAAGCTCCCAACGGAAGGCTTCGGAGACTTTGACAGATCGACTCTCCTCGTCAACCAGTCCGCTGGTGACCTCCTCCAACTTGTACCAGGCCTAGAGTGGGGGGGGGCCCTGATCCCTGAAGTGGGGGCAAAATCATCAAAGGCGCCGGCCTTGAAAACTCCCCTAGAGATTTATATTTAATTTATATGGCTGGAATTGTGCATGGAATATGGACTTACCTCCAAGAAGAAATCGTTCGCCTCATCATTGGCTTTCGCCGATCTGACCCTGGTGAGTGAGGTCGCTGCCCGGACATGGTAGGTTGCCCAGTGATGAATCTGGTCAGCTGAAAAGGAATCCGTCATCGGAAGAAACCTCTGCGACAAACGTGTCCTTGTTTGTGGGCTGCCTTAAGTCACCAGATAGACATGGGCGCAGCGCGTCCATAGTACCGCCATCTGTGCCGTGTAGCGCGCTTCGGGTGAAACCGACTCCAAGGAACACTGGAATCACTCATTTTGGCGACTCTCATGTTCCTGATAAAAGGCAAAAGGTTGCTAAGCTGCCCGCGTCCATAATGGTCTCGAACTTGCCGAGGAGCTGCTCCCGAAAGGAATCCATAAGACTGGCAAAGCGCTGCAAAACGTGTCGATCGCTTGGATGTTGGTCACTGCATTTCGGGGCGCTGCACAAGGCAATCTTTTTGCCCCTTTTCTGTGACAAGCGTGGCATCCGGCTCAAACCTACACTTCACTGATGGCCCAGACTGTTTGGTCCAGCCCCAAACGAACCGAGCCGGGCACAGAAGAAGCCAAACCCACCGCGCACGACGAAAAGTCCCCCCCCCCCCCCCCCAAAGCCCCAACGCCCGGCCTGGCGGCCGGCTCATCGATGTTTTTCAGGGTGATGAAGTTCTCCTCGCCGCCTCACGGGCCCCAAAAAAAGAAACAAAAAATATCCCCCCCACCAAGTGTCATGGAACCTGACGTTTGGGGTCCGTTTTCCTAAAGGGGCCATGTCCCGGACATCAGGTTCCATGAGCAGGGCAACATGGGTTCATGTGTGTCACGGAGCCGGAGCCCTTTGTCACCTCACCTTCCTCAACCCCCGCCCCCAGCCCCTGAGGCCACTGCTGAGCTCCTGCCACAGCGGCTGGGCCTTGCCGCCGAAGGAGCACTCCTTGCACCCGGGCCGGCTCCGCGCCGGTAGGCGGCTTCGAGCATAGCAACCATGGCAGGGCGTGGAAATTCAAACGTGGAAAAGCACCAACAAAGCAAAAAGCGAGCTGTCAAATGCATGACACTTTCTGGGTTCCCAGATGCCTTTGGAAGGACGTTGCCTTTGGCCATTGCTTGTTAAAGGCACAATGGACCAAGGCACCAGTAGAAGCCGATTCAAGAAGTCAAGGGCTGTGCCGAAAAAGAAAAAAAGTCAAGGAAGAAAAATGGCAAGCTGCGAAAACAACCTGGCATTCTACAGGACGTCCTTGCGTGGTTATTGCAGATTGGTCTTGAGGGCGCTATGGATGTTGCTAAAAAATGTTCCACGTGGTTTATATATTTCTATATATTGGGTGTAGATCCTGTTGTTTTCCTCACGCAGCAACAATTGGCAGATCAACAATGCAGCACTCGGCCAAACTCTCGAACTTTTGGTGATAACTGATCTCCCCCTACCTTTACATCCCAACAAACGCAACACGCGTAGCATCCCCAGGACAGCTCGCGAGGTCACCTGCCGAGCCCTCGAATTTCGAATTGAGGTCCTCCAGCACCTTCATGAACATGCCAAAGCCACAGGTGCCCTCAAGTGTCGGCCCATGCAACTCTCCTTGTGCCTCCTGCCTATGACTCAAACTGCGCACTTGAACTCGGGACGAGGCATGAAAGTGCGGGTCGAAGGCCAACCTCCAAGCTGCCACCTTGGCGAAACTCCACGGAAGGAAGGCCACATGGGAGCATCTGGATATAGCAGACTATAGCATGCGAAAGCGACCATGTGGCGCATGAAGTGAGCTCCTTTGAACGCCGAGCTTGTAAACCCAAGCCTTGGGCGAATCCCGAGGATCAACCACTCAACTGGCCCTGCGCCACTCGCGCCCTCTGAACCGCTTTGGGCCCGCTGCCGTGGAGCCGAAGTGGTTCCGCAACGCCTGGCGCAAGTTCTGGGCGGGGCCTCAAGCAGGCAACGCGGGGCTTGCCAAACGGGTCACGACGCTTGCACCGCTGAATCTATAGGAATCCAGTCATGATGATAGCAATATTTGTCGGAACCAATCCAACCATTGATTGACCCCAGCCACGGCAATACGACATGAGTACTTCATCACTATAAAGGGGATTCCCTTCACATCACAGAAACTTGCTCTAAACCCCAATTGTCCGTCGGAAACTTGACCCCAGCAGCTGTACTTCTCTCTCGGGTCGGGACTGGGCCCGATGAAGGTATAGAACTTCTTGTCGTTCTTGCTCCTGCGTCCGCAGGCTCATGCCAAATTTTGTTTGATGCTTGTTTTGCTGTGTTGCTGTATGGCACTGTATGGCGCAGTAAGCCGAAGAACGCTCGAAGCAGAGACTTTTGTCAGGTGCTCCAGCCGGCGTCAAGAAACCCTGCCTGTGACTAAGCTCAAGCACAAACAATGGATGTCCTGAATGGGATGAGTATACAAACGCGATATCATATCTTGCTCAACAAGGTTTCAGGAAACCCCCACGGCATTCGCCCAGCGGAACCCGAAACCCGCCCAGCACGTCCTTGCTGTCGGAGATCCGTCCTCCCCGCAAGCATGGGAGTGTGGGAATCGTCGTCCAGCAAACAAACTTTCGGTTCCTTCCCCGTAGCTGAGGGCACATCAAGCAGACTCGCAAGGGCAGATCTCCCACTTCCAGCCACCAAATTCTCAGTTTCGGCCTCCAGGAAGAAGGTCTTCTTCTCATTCTCCCGGGCCGTGGGGCTCAAAGGCCGAGGGGCACCTCACACACCCCCTGAGAAACATCCGGAGCGCAACCCGAAAACATGGCAAGGCGGTGTGGATGCTTCGCAAACCGCTGTCCAGCAGCTTAAGCCCGCAAGAGTCATGGCCCAAGCAAATTGATGCAGCAGCCATCGAATTTCGAGCAAGATCACACCTGTAGTGAGCCAATCTGCAATAAACCAAACTTCTGTACGGCCCTCCAAAACCGGTCAGCCAGAATCAAAGGATGCCAAAAGTTGGCTCATCCGACCACGTTTCAACCGGAGCCAGGCGCATGGAACACTTCCCCATCAAGCCGGGGCACTGGGTATGATCACCTCGGCTCGGATCAACAAGGCAACCAACATCCCCTTTGAAGAGCGCTCAACTCCATTGATCTCCGTCGTGCACGTCTGCGTGTGCCTTTGTGCGTGCATGTGTCTGGAGTGATTTAGGTCGTCTTTTCGTTTTGTTGCAAGCAGCAAGCAGTCGTGCACCAGTCTTTGAAAGCCCGGCAAGCGCTCGAAACCTTTCGGGGGCCCGGCTTCCATGCCTCGCCGCCGGCGCCGGCCTTCGCAAGGCTGGAACGGGATGGGCAAAAGAACATTCGGAGATTGAGCAGTCCCTTTCTTTCGGGACACACACATACCTACGTGGGTAAGCCTTTGTCAATCTGGACACGGCTCCCAGTTGGAAACTTGAGCAACCAAAGGCAAGCAAGTTCCAGTCCATGTTATGAACATCTAAAGGAAAAACCTAGGGCCTCCGATCTTAAAACCTTCCTGCGGCCCTTCCTTCTTCCTTCAGACAAGGACTGATATTTGGCGCCTGGAAAACTTTGCCCGATCCCATGAGCCCCTGGCTGCAGGCAGGATCCAGGTCCCAGATTGTCAGCAACACCTTCCCCGGCGACGGCTGCCTGGGAGGGACACGAACGGGTCCTTTGACCCAACCCTGTTGGGGAAAAAGCAGTGGCTCAACCTCTGGGTGACTAGCGTAACCAGTGCCCTGCACTGGCAGTTTCGACTTCCCATTGTTGCTCTACACCCAAAACCGTATCATCTAAAGACAACCTCTAGACGTACGGGAATTGTGCGCTAGTCTAGATATCCAAACCTGTACCCTCGGCAACCTCAATTCGACGATCCAACAATTCAAAGAAAGTGACGCCTGTTGTGCAGAAATCACAACTTTCAACCGGCCAAGGATACTATACTGAATCAGGAGCGACCTTCTCTTCCGGTTGCGCCAGCTTCATTGGTCACATCAGCCGAGACTTGTTCCGGCTTTGTCTTTGGTGGAATGTTTGGTTTGGGCTCCGTGCAGGCACTTGAAGAGCTTTTCCGGATCGTGGTCGTACCGCAAAGTCGTGCACGCCTGCCAGGCGCGTCTGGGAAGAGTCCGGGCCCACGCCAGACACTGCCAATTGCTCCAAAGATGTTCTCGCAGAATATACAGGAGGGTCTAGTTTCACCCCAAATGGACTGGGAAACTTGCTCTGGTCATCGTGGTGAATGGGTCGGTGAGCGAACAAACACTCAGCCGACGGACCCCGCGCCTCCAGGAGGTCTTTCCTGGTGATGCTGCCGTGGGGGTCTTGGTGGAAGCCATCCTCCGAGCACTCGGAAGGAACTCCGCGGCGAGCCAAGGACTCCCCCAAACCCACTTGGACCTTGCGACCTTACTTCAAGCCATGACTATAACAAGGGACTTTTCGCTAGGTCTGGGCCGATCTTCATCAATCTCACGCAAATCCCAGCGTGACCCCACGCGCTCGGAGCGGGGTCCCGCCAGGCCAGGTCCAAGGTCTCGAAGTGCTCCCCCAGCAGCGCCAGGAAGTCCGCGACCTGACCAGCGGACTTGCGGCCAACGCCCCAAGTGGCACCCGCTGGAAAACGGGGGACACGGAAAAACATGATGAACGTTTTGAGGGGCTCCTGGAAGACGGGAAATGGCGTTCTTTCTCGCGGTTTTTGAAGGACCCGGTACGGGAAGGAACTGGTAAAATGACACCTGGAATTGGTTAAATCTGCCCCCCCCCCCCCCAAGTTCGGCGCCCACCCAGAGGAGCATCGTGGACACAGGGAATGTGCTAAAACAAGTTTGGCCATGTTCGGTTCCTGTTGTTCAAGCTCTCAGGAACCGGCTTGAGAGCGGGTTCTGTGTGCAGTCCACAGGCAACGTTGAGCATGCCGTAGGGCGATGCAGGGAAGCAGTGCAACCGGTCCCTCCAGGATCCTCATTGATTGGGTAAACTGTCTGGAAGCTTCGGAGAAATGTTGCTGGGGGCCACCAGGGTCCCTGAAAGGATGCACCAAAAACCGTGCTTCAGGAACAAACTCCCCTACAAGGCCGGTGGTTCTTGGATGCGTGTGCCAAAGGGGGTTGACCATTAAAAAGACCTTCTACCGGAACCCAAACCGACCGGAAAAGCGACGAACCGGGTCGAAATCTCCGGGGCTCCTGGCCAAAAGATCTGCCTCAGGGTCCAGGTCCGCCAGGCAAATGAAGCCTCCGCATTTGCAATCCAAAGCTCCAGCTCGAAACCGCTTCCATGGACCAGTCACTCCCTTCCGCAAAAAGAACGGCCCGGCTTAACCCGTCTTGTAGCCAATCAAAGGAAACCCGTCAACTCGGCCGGAACGTTACCTCTCCCAATGCACTTGGCAATCTGATCGAAGTCACAGTACCCAACCGCAACAGGATTCCAGGCTTCCAGTCGGTTCCCGGCTCCAAGCCGGAGAGGCAAACTTACTGCCAAGAGATAGAAACCCACAAGCTGGTTGCTGTTGGGGACAGGGTCGACGACTCAGGCGCATGGCTGGGGATCGGCACCCTTCTGCTGCTTGTCGTACTCCTTGAACAAGGACTTGAAGTCCCCAGCGTAGCCCAAGCCTTGGCTTGGGTCAGCCCCGGCCGAGTTTCCCATGTCTTGATGGCTCACTCCATACCTACCTCAGGAAACCTGAGCTCCAGAGCCCACCAAAACCTTCTAACGCCGTTCTGACAATCGAAGGTGCTTCTTCACGCATCCTGTGCAGGATGAGGTCGACCAACATTCTACACAGCGCTTGGAAGAACATGGAGCTCTTTGGCTGCCTAACAAAACATAGTACGGTCACTCTGCGGGAAGATAAAAATGGAGCCCAACGTAGTGTCTGGGTATGTTCAGGCTGAGGAAGAACAAGAAGACAACCAAGAAGCTGCTGCAGCTACAGCCGCAGGTCAACAACAAGTACCAAGTATTCCTTCTACCACTGTTGCAAGTGCTGCTACTGACAACCCCTATGGGCCAAAATGGTGATGTTACCGAAGGATAACACCGGGCCAGACACAGGCCGCGGGGAAAGCAGCTCGAGCCCCGGACGCCGCAAGGCCTCGCAGAACTCCCCAAAGCTGAGCCTCGAGGCGATGTCATCCATAGGGCCGTGCCTCTCAAACAAACTGCTGGGATAGAGACGCCTTTTCTCCTCGCATCATGGGCGTCCTTTGGTGCAGGCTCGCGCAGTGCACGTGAGCGATCACCCCAGCCCTCGCGGACTCGCCGCCCGTTTCGGCAGCGAGGCCCTGGGAGTTCAAAGCCTCGGCGCGTTGCGCAGGGCCCTCGAGCGAGCCTTGGGGCGTTTGACTTCGGGATCCAAATGCCCAAAGTGGGAAATATATGCCCAAGGTGCTGAAAACGCGGACCGGGTTCCATAGGAAACAGAGAACAGGGAGAACGAAACGCAAGTGGAGAGCCATAGCTCCGACCAAACCCTGGCAAACCCTGTGACAGACGTGTTCTGGCGCTCATGAATTCCTCTCCCCCAGACCAGCACGGGGTGCTGCACCCAATCCCAAAGCACCCAAAGACACAATCCTCAAACTGGCGCCGCCCTGGTCTCTTTCCAGAAGCTCTTGCGCATTTTCCCCCCCTCCCTTCCAAGCCGCCCCGACTCGTTGGCACACGACGACGGCAGGCCCAGCGCAAAGAGAAACGACGCGGCCAGCGAGATGGAAGTGCCGACCACGAAGAGCAAGTCCGGCACGAAGTCGTTCAGCAGCAGCGAGGACCTGAGGCTCCAATAGTCCATCCAGTTAAGCCCTGGAAACGCGTCAATTTTCCAAATTTCCACTGGGGACTCGCTGAATATCCCGTAGTTTGGAACGCTCACCTGAAATATATCGTGCAGGCGAATGGAACGGTTGGTTGGTTGGCTGGTTGCGTGGTTGGTTGGCTGCCTGTCGGGTTGGCTGGTTGGTTGGCTGATCGCACTGAGTTCTGCTGTTGAAAGTCTTCCAAATAGGGTGCAGAAACGTGCTTTTGGCAAGTGGGTTTGTGTCTTCTCCGAACTCTTTCTGAGGGTACCCTTGCCAGGTTGGTGGTGCAGAAACAACAAAAGGAAGCCACCTTTTTGTGGGGGGATGGTCCTTCTATTTTGACACATAAGCGGCATCAGGCAGGTCAGGATGATGGAGAGGGCGGTGCTGAAGCAGCCGTGGGTGGCACCCGCGTACTTCAGCATCACCGCGCACAGCAAACCCCCGAAAGCGTTCATGGCGATGACCAGCAGCACGCGGATGTTGTATCCTGAAGCCCGAACACACGATTCCGTGGATTGAGCCCCCGGATGTGTCTTTCACAGGGCCTGGCGACCTGCCTTTTGTGACCATCTTCCTATGCCTGTCTTTCACATGACGTGATGAAAGGGACACCAGTTTCTGAACAACAGGAGCTTCCCAATGCATGTTAAGCAGCCCTGCTGAATGGACGAAATCTTAGCGCGAGAAATTACTTGGGTGCTTGAACCGTGTGCAAACACGTCTCTTGGCCATACCCATGACATGGGTATTCAATCTCGCCTTAGCCAAAGCAAAATGTCTGCAACATCCCTAAGCCAGCTTGTCCTGCCTGAGCAAAATGTGGCACTTTCTGCAATCCAGCCTGTGTGAAAGCCCTTGTTGAAGATGACATCGCCATCTTGCGCCACCTGAGAATAGCAAGGCCACAAAGTGTGACCTGACGTCAACTCCTGCAAAGGCTTCATAATAGTGGTTCGCTGAAATACCCCTCAGGCTGCTTCCCTGTCATCCAGAACGGAGTCAACACGCCTCCTGCACACTGAGCCACTATGTAAACGCATGATCAGGAAGCTCAGGATGGTCGATCTCTGAAGCTTTCCCAACAGACTGGCTGCCCGTCTTGCCCCCAAAAAAATATATCCGCATAGTCCTTCCTGCAGACGGGGGGCCGCCACTAGCAGCCCAGTGCTCGACCCGAAGAGGCCCAGCTGCACGTTCCGCATCCAGATCTCAACCGGAAGCGTCAAGCCCACCCACCCCGGATTGGGCCCCAAGCGGAATTTGGGGCCCTTCTCTCCAGAGTCACCTATAGACAGACATAGCATATGATTAAGGATTTTCCGGTTCAAACCTCTTGAATCCTGTGAGTATTTCACACTGTGGTCTTTTTGCGGCGTGTTCATGGAGGACAACCCAGGACTTGACCCTTGCCACTGCACAGGAGGACGGATTTTGGAACGCCCTGTGCACCAGTGCGGAAGTGCTCTGAGAAAGAAAGACAGATACCTGTGCTCTTCTGCAAACCTCACTGCTAAGTTTACCGCAAATACAAGAAAGCAGGGGTTCGGTCTGAAAGCCCTGACGATTTCCCTAGCATGTCCGGGCCGCTTTGTTTGGCTTGCCATGTCCCTGGACAATGATTCCTTTGGCAGTGATATTGGCCTCAGGGAGACGATGCACTTTACCTGCGACTTGAATTCGTGGACTGTGAATGCTTCCAAGACCTCAGTTTGATGTTAATGAGTGACGCGCTCATCGAAAGTCGGGGTGGATGGGGCTTTACTCTTCAATTCCAGGACCGTTTGTGAACGGTAAACCGAGGTTGAAGACGCATGACACCATTGCATGGGAGATCCTGGCATGCAAACCTGAGTTCTGCCTGAAACCGACCGAGGCACAGAGGCGCTCGTCTGCTGCAGCATCTTCTGGATCCAGACCCCAGCGAAGCCGCTGGTGAAGCAGGCGAGGATCACCGCGACGAACCCTCACTTTGCAACCCAGGCTAGCCAGGTGTTCATTTGTTCGTTGCCAAAATCGGATATTCTGAGAAGCAGCATGTGTTTTCCGTCATGATAACCTTTCACGCCACTGCCTCGCGAGGGGCCCTAGGTCACACAAAGTCAATTATCCTCCCTGCAAGGCACCCTTCATCTGATCATCCTCCATCTTGTCTAGGAAGTTGAAGTCCAGTGAGAAGTGCGAGTTGGTGGTCTGTGCATTCCTACTGACCTGGCGAGCAGGCGGTGCAGAGCTCGCAAAGCGGAAAGCCTGGAGCTCGAAAGTGCTACTGCAAGAAAGCCGCAAGATGAGGAAGCCCCTAAGCACTTCCGAGCCAGGCCGCACCCATACTCCTTGCGACCGATCTCCGAGCTCCAATCCTCGAGGTCGCGCCTGCACGACCATGATGCCAGCGGCCAGCAGGAAGCAGGCGCTCCACTTCACAGGGCCCAGCGTCTTCCCCAACATCACCACCCCCAGGCCTCACAGGGTACCCGAAAGGACACGGCGCAAGAGCGCAAGAGGGGCTGATGGTTTTGATGGCTTTGCTGACTTTGCGCTCAGAGTCATGGGCCTAAGTGAAGCAACCCGCCAGTTCCTGCCTGCGGTCGTGACCACCTTCATTTGGTACAAGACTTGCTGCACCGGAGCGCTCAGCTTTGTCAGGCTGTAGAACATCAAGTTGTTCCTAGGCAGGTGCTCTCTTGGCCTTCCCAAAACCGTCTGGCTACCACCCCGCAAGCCTTGCTCAACAGAACACTGGGATTTAAGCGAAGATTATCCTTTTTAAAGGCGCACCACTCTCAACACCACTCCGGGCCAAGTCACTGGAAGGTGTATATGAGGGAAGGCACCTCAGACAAAAGACCCCAACACGTGGTCCTGGAAGGAGGGTTGCTGGTTCGGACGCTGGTCCAATGCAAGCCTGAACACGCAGATGCAAAATGGTTTTGGGTGAGGCAAAAAATCAGAAAACGAGGTCCATGGGCCACTTCTGCAAAACCAGGAGACAAAACTAACAAATCAGCTGGGCTTCCAGCCTGAACAGCTGGGCTTCCAGCCTGAAGAACATTCATAAAGGCGACCGGTTTAAATCAAAAATCAAAAAATGCAGACAACCAGGAGGCTATGCCCCAAATGGAGATGCAACAGTACACCAATCCACATCTCCGCAATCCCCCGCGGACGTGAAGAGAAAATACTCCTGGAGGCATCCCCAACAGCAACCAGCGGAACCCTTTGAAAGCCCGAACAACTGCTCCACGCCACTGCGGAACCCCTCCAAGCCAATCAGAGCCCTTTGCCACAAACACTTCAGACCATCTAGCAAGTCCAGCCACTGCTTCATGGTGTCTTGAGGCAAGGTAAGGGTCTGAGGTCATCCACATTGCATACGAAGCCATCCGAATCAGCAAAAGGCCTGCGAGCCTTGCCCAGCCTTGCTTTGCTTTGCCCCATAAAAGGGACCCCTTCTTTTTGTGCTTTTCGGACCTGCGATCCGAGGTCCTTGCGGAACCGGGATGAGGAGCCATGGACGATCCACGGACGTACTTCAGCAGCATGAAGGTTGGCGGAATCGGCAACGGTGAAGGCCTGGATTTCTCCTTGGGCCAGGAGGCGGACTACTGGGTGGTGAGCACGAGGATCAGCAGGGCTCTGCCTCCGGATGTCCAGGATCATGTCCTCCTTGGTCGCCATCATCAGGATGGCAGCGGCGGCTTCTTGGCGCGGCCTGGGGGCAACGTACTTTCCGCAACCTCGTCCTTTCCCGTACAGTTAGTTCACCCGCGCGCGCCTTCATCCAGACACCTTGGAGTGGGTCTGAAGCCCTCTTCCACCACCGAAGCTTCCACTTGAGATAAGCACGGATCCCAGAATACCCCCACGAAGGATTCCTCAGTCAGGTCGGAGGATTTGCAGCAGCTGCTCTCTCGCAGCTGGAAGACCGCGGAGCGTCCGAGGTCTTCTTTGGGTTCAGTTCGCACGCCTTGGCCCAGGCCTTGGACAGACAGCCCAACCACGACAGCGGCTGTGAGGATCCTGAAAACCCTTGCAGCGTCGCCGGAGAGGCCAAGGCCCCAAAGATGGACTACCTTCCACGACCACGGTCAAGATGCAACCCTCTGCGCTGCTGACAGTGCTAAATCAGCCTTTGTGCACCCTGCAGGTTCACCAAGGTTAATCAGAAGTTCAACATCAAGGAGTGGAACGTCCTGGGCATGGAGCCTGCGAGGCACCTGCGCAGCCAGGTCACCTTTCACAACGGCAGGATCGTGAGCTCCATGAAGCAGGGCATGATGAAGATCAAGCCCGCGCAGATGGTCAAGGAAGCGCCGGACAAGACTTTGAGCGAGCCGGAACTGCAACGAGAGCACTGCTTGCCGGAGAAGCTCTTCGTGGTGAGCCAGCTGGCTCAGTCATTCTCAGCAGCGCAGATCAAAAAGTTGGCCACCAGTGGTCAAGGCGGAACTGAGGCACCGCCCGATCAGTGGGGAGCCGATGTTCCAGGTTCACTTGGTGGCGTCAAAGGCCGTGCTTCGTCGTGAAGGAGTGGCCAACATTTTGAGCTTTCGCAGCGGCAAGAACGCTCGGGTGGTGGGGTCAGGTCTGGTGGCCGGCAATGGATGAGCAGCTCTATCTGCGGCGGAGATGATGGCAAAGGATTGGAAGGAATCCCTAGACTGCCCGGGGGCGGTGGTGACGGACGCCAAGGCGTTGTATGATCATATCAGCCGAGCGGCAGACGATGCTGGACATCCTCAGCCCAAAGAATTGATCCAGCAGCAGCTCTGCCTAATCTTCTGGGTCCCCACCTTCCGCCAATTGGCTGATGGCCGGACAAAGGCCATGGCTGATGAGCTCTTCGGCGAGTTCCTCGAGAAGGGCACGATCAGAAGGAAGGAGACCCCGAAAGATGCGAAGGGGGACAGTATGAGAGGCGGAAGGAGCGAATGAAGCATCTCACCTCAGCACGCCCTTCCTCCAATGTGCTGAGGCAAGGTAAGGGCCTGAGGTGAGGGCCATCCACATTGCATGAACATGTCACCGAAGCCATCGATGCGCGAATCAGCACAAGGCCTACGAGGCTTGCCCAGCCCGGCTTTGCTTTGCCCTAATAAGGGACCCCTTCTGTTTGTGCTTTTCGGATCTGCGGTCCCACACATGGAACCCCAGCCCTCCTCAACCCTATCCAGCAACCGCCTCCAGTGAACCTCCCGGAAATCCCCTAAGAGCTGCTCCAGACCCCTTTGCTTTTCTGCCTGGGCCAATACCTCATAGCTTTCAAAAACACGCCAAAATCAAGGCAAAGAAAAAACGCATCACAAAGCCGGCCTAGGCTGCCCTCACGTTTTGAGCCCGACCCTCCCTGGGGCTTCTCCGCCGCGGCGCCGCAGCTTTCAGCAGCTCCGTCCGGGACTGGGTGAAGTGCTCCGCGAGGCTATGGCAGGCCGCCAGCGTGTCGCCTCCAGCCCCGCAACCCCCGGCTACGGGCCCCCGGGTCCCTCCGAGGTGGCCGCGGCCCATTTCGGCGGGCTCTGGCGGACGGGAAATCACCCCTTTGGGCCCCGAAGGCCCAGCCCTTGACCCATGACGGATGGCTTGTGTCGCTTTCAAGCAGTTAAAATTTCCCCCATGCTTTGGTTCTCAGCTGCATGTTTGGAATATGCTTGCACCTGCCGGATATATTGATCTCCTCTAGGCGGAGAAAGTCCACGTGCACTCCCCCGCCTCCTCACTGTATCTGACCTGCATGTAACGTGTGTGTCTGTGAGGATACCGTAAGCTGGAACAAACGGAAGATGCCTCTATGTTCAACTCCCCCAAGCCCATGCTCAGGAACAACTACACTCGTTCCGAGCTCTTGGAGATGCAAGACAACAAGGGCTTCGCTGGAAAGTACAACTTTGTGCAAGATGACAAGTGCTGTGTGTTGTTCCTTTTGCAGGAGCTTTCATTTCAGACGCGGTGAGGATATGCGATTGCCTTGAAGCAAATTGGAAAACCTTCAAGGGGTTCGTGCTGAGCCGTGCTTTGTGTGTGTGTGATTTGTTGTGATTCCCCGCAATGTCCTCCCAAATTGACCATAGGCCACTGGATGTCTTGTCCGAATTTGGTTGCTCGTCCATCTGTCTGCTCCTGGCTCTGCTTGGGAAAGGCTGCGATTCAATTTCACAATTACCCTGTCCTTACGCAGCTCCTTAGCTCCCTCTAAGAAGCCTTCAACGGCCTCCTCTCTCCAAACACCGCAATCCTTCCAAGGCTCCGGTATCCCGGATCACCAACAGGAGGCTGGTGATGAGCTTCACCACTTCCGTCCAGAACACCACAGTGCTCGCCACGTACTCCTGACCACAAGAGTTTCTCCTTGACCCGTCTGCCACATCCCCAGTTCGGCCACTTCGGCACTCACCTTGAAAAACATCGGCAGAACCTGCGCATCGTTGCACCCTACCCTTCGATCAGCTCCCTAAGGCCTCCTAGGCCTTTTGAACTGGATCGTTGATCTATGCAACCCACGCAGCCTGGGAATGCCAACCTCCAAGGTCGTCAACCAAGCCCACCCGCCACCCGCCGGGTGAAAATGTTCGGGCCTTCTTGCCATGGGCGTCAGACCACTTGATAAGCAGCGCCTGCCCGGTGGTCTGGAACCTGCCAAGCGCTTGGCTGCGTTTACCAGTGGACACTTCGAATCAGCAGTGCCAATAGGCTGAAGAATTCCCATCTCTCTCTCTCTCTCTCTCGCTGCCAACAAGGAACCCCGCAAGTGAACGCTTCACCTGACTTAACACTCAACTTGCAGCCCATGCGCTTGTCAGATTACAAAGGTCCGAAATCAGAAATTTGGTGTTTCTTGTTCCGTGCCACCCACATACTCAAATCTGCCACTGGGAGACTTCTTGGCCAATCTCGCGGCAATGGGTCAGAACTCTGGGTTTCTGCCTAAGCTACTGTCCCGGCGCGCTGGGGGGGAGGGACGTTATTGTATCAACCTTGGATTGAGAATTACTTCGTTCGTGCGGCGGGAGCAGTCTCAAACAGCAACGCAGCCCAGCGAATGTTCGATGTGTGTAGATGGATGGATATCAAAAGCAGGCCCCAAGGGCCACCTTTAAAAGCTGCCAAATACATGGCCTGTTCCTCGCTATGTTTCGCTATTTTTTGTGTGAGACACATCATCTTTCTGGCTTGGAACTCGATTACATTCCAAAACTGGAGACCAAGGTTTGCCCTCCACCAAGATTCAAGCTGAGAGGAGAATCCCAACCTCATGTCACCTTTCAAGCTCGTCAGCGGATTGGAAATTCCCACCTGGATCCAGAGACTGAGACTAAGCGCCCCCACGTCAGCGCTACCAGCGACACCCACTTCATGGGTATGCCGCAGAGGGTCGGCTCCAGCTCCTGCCGTGAGCAACCAAGCGGTTCGACGCCGAGCTGAATGCGTTGTGTGATGTGTGTATCTGCCAAAATAGGTCAAAATAGGGGACACCCAAAACAAAACAGTGAAAACGGGTACCCTCACGCCTGGCTTTGTAAGTTCAGCGAAACCCACGGGTCCCTCCTGCCGCGGTTTCTGGGGCTCCTCGTTCATCAAGTGATTGGCTTCCACCTGAAGCCACCGGTGATTGACCCAATGACGGGGCCGCTGCCGCACAGCGCGCCCCAAGCTCAAAAGCCCTGAAGAAGATGTTCACATCGGCCAATTATCTGACTGAAGGCGCCACATGGCAAACATGTCGCAACTTGCGAACTGACGACATGTACGGCATGCACGGCATGCACGGCATGCACGGCATGCACGGCATGCACGGCATGCACGGCATGCACGGACGCGCCTCCAGGTGTGCACACTCCTGCTGGGCGCCGATGATCTGCCCTGCGAACCAATGGCAATGTGGCTTCCCTCTAACTGGTGGATTGGTGGCTTGGTGGACAAAGAGGGGTTTCCCATTTACCCTCTACACGGACCAAGATAAACCACCAATTCGGGGTTCCGTGAAGAAAGTGATGCAGATCAATAACACCCGACAAGCCGAGCTAGAGGCAGGAAGCCACTTGGGGCCAACTGCCCTTGGTCTGGCTAAAGATTGCTTTCCCTTCTGCCTTTTGGTTTCCCCTCTGATTGCCTCTGACATAAACCACCCACCGGCCTCCGGCCATCTCTGCCTTGCAGGGCACACAATGGCAGGCGCCCGCAAAGGCCCCGCGGACTTCACCGTGTCAGCAACCAAAACCACGAAGATACAACCAACAAAGGAACACATCTGATATGGCCATGGGTCAGAATCCCGGTTAGCCCCCAGTGAACATCCCAATCCCCACTAAAATAGACTAAAATGGGTGGTGCACCTACCCCAAAATAGTACCATTGGTTTTGACCACAGCCGTATTTACCAAATGGTTGATAGCTTCATGTTTTTTGCCGGCAGTTGGTTTCAACTGCTCAAAAAGTCGGCTCCTTTTGGCCCTGCCTTGCAATCCATCCACCCGGATGTCGGAGAGTTCCGCCAGGGCATGGATGCGCGTGCGGACACGCGAGGGGCAGCCGGCCAGGGCCTGCTTTGGGCCCGGCGAGGCCTCTGAGAGGCCGTAAGGAAAGAGAAGCAGCGACCGCCTATCTGCTGCAACCGCCTATCTGCTGCGTTTTTCGAAGTGGACACTGGGTGGCTGTGGGCTGGTGGGTTGGGGGCTGTGGGCTAGTGGGCTGTGGGCTGGCTAAGTCCGCTGGGTGTGTGGGGCGGGCATTGTAGTAAAGTCTCATGAAAGTGTGGGTCTTGGGCCCTAAATTTTCTGGAGCCAAGCGGAGATCACAAGCTGCAACCGCTCCATGAAGTTCATCACTCCGAGCAGTGGCGAGCACAAGCTCGGAACTTGCAAAATGAAGGAGTGACCCTCCGCTCATGGAACTGAATCGAAAGGCATCTGGGCGAGCAGCCTTGCCCCGAGCCTTCTGGCAGGCTCCTTTTGGAGGTCTCTCATGGGTGTCTTTGTGGGTAGCCTTCCCCAATGTTTCAAACCAAATTTAGGGAGTGGTCCTCGGGCGCTGCGGCCCTGGCTTCCCGTTGGCGTGCGCGTCCAGGCATTGTCGCCAGGCGGCGATCAGGGAGCCATGCTTTCCTCAGCACGAAGAGTCACCTGCGCCTTTGTTGCCTTGTAAACAATGCACCAAATAGGTGTGCTTCCCCAATCTTCCACGAAAACAGCCATGTATGGGGAGGTGTCACATTTGGGACAAAACAAACTGTGTTTCGCTTCTGGTGTCCCTTGAAGACCATCCCCAAACCCTCAAAGACATACACACCTGTCAACAGCCTCTGGTCAGTACAGCCCCACTCGCTCGGGCCGTGGCTGATGCACAGGTCCTCGAAGTCCTCGATGGTGTTGATGCAGAAGGCCGGCCTGATTGATCACCGGCTGAAGGAACCAAAAGGGCTCCACATGAGCCCAGCCCCAAAAAAATCATGGCGGCCCGGAGTCGGAATGGCTCTTTTTCTTCCAGAGGTGGGACATGTGCTCTCAACTGGCCTGATTGGAAGCAAGGACTGTCGATGCAAGGGAATCAGTTGCCTGATCGACACCGTCCGATTCCAGGCTCCAGAGTGAGCCCGGGAAAGTCCCAAGTACAAGCTCCAAACCAATGGAATATTGGAAGCAAAGCATGCAAAGAAGTGCATCTGCGCAATCCACCCTCTCTGAACCCCCAGAACTGAGTGTTCGCTTTTGGTTTCCCTTTACTCAAAAACAAGCACAGCTGCACAGAGACACACAGACAACATCAGGCAACATCAGGCAACAAACAAACAAAAAACACCCAGCTTTGTTTCGGGTCCTGGGCCCCCGGCTGCGCGGTGCGGCAGGCCTTGGCGAACTCCTTGCGCCTCGCCGCATCCGCGGCACGCCGAGCCTGGTAGAAGAAACCCGCCTGAGCACCAAGGGGAGTCGGGACGGGTTTTGAGAAATATCTTTACCGCAACCGCAACCATAAGGCTCGGCTATGGTTTCGAGACAGCCTGAGACCTAACACTGCCAGGACAAGTCCTGAAGTGAACATATACCATCAAGACAAAACTGCAGAAATTCTCACTCTGGCTCTGGAAATATTTGTTCCTTTACTTTCCCTTGCCTCTTGCAGCGACCCCAGACGGCGTCTCCGGTCGTGACCCGCCGCCCACATTCCGCCTTGCCTCGTTGCGCTCGTGGAACGTTAATTCGAGGGGCGACTTCCCGTGGTAGCCTGACAAAGCACGAAGCGTTCCCTCCCCTTCCCGAGAGAAGACCTGCCTTCCAAGATGGCACGAGTTGCATCCAGAATTGTCAAAGTGCTATGGACAGGGACCCTTCCGGCCTTGCGCCGGCTCGCTGAGCATCCGGAAGTCCCCACGGCCTCAATACGGCAAGCAGAGGCAAGCGGGTCCAAGGGACCCTTTTGTCGGCAGTTCTCTGGGATCGTTTCTGTATGCTTCAAAGGCTTCCAGCCATCAAAGAATACAGCTCCTGTGGCAGATGCTCAAACAAATAAACAAACAAATAGCAGTCACACTCGGGAAATCCCGCAGCCTGCTTATTGACCTGAGAAAGACAGTGTGACTGCCCCTCTTAAGACGCTGGGAGCAGCGCTGAGAGCATGGAAGGCCTTGGTGTCAAAGTCTTGGATGGTCATCAAGCTGCGGCCTGTCCATGGAGGGAGGAAATCAGGGATGGGAGGGAGGAAGGCAGGGATGGGAGGGCGGCAGGCTGGCAAGCAAGAAAGTTTTCAAGAAGAGCGAGAAACGAAGTAAAGCATGAGACTCGGAAAGGCATGAAAGGGAAGAAATGCTTGCCTGCATCTGGCTTCAAGCGATGGAACAGGTCCTTCGCATCACCAGTGAAGCCTAGCGGAGCACGCATGCTTGCAAGCGGGCTGACTGGCAACTGGCCTGGATGATGGCTGTGGAACTTCTGCGGTGCCAAAGTGATTGCGAAAGGTACCGCGCTGTAATGCCGTATACCCCGGTCGCTCCATGCATCCATCAAAGATCCATCCATCCAATCCATCAATCTCAGTCCATCCATCAAGCCATCCAAAGCAAATTCCCTTCCCACAGAAGCTCCCAAAACCTTCTCCTCCACTCTGAGCTGGGGCCGCGGCCCACCTTCTGGCAGCAGCGCAGGAACTGCTTCTCGCTCACAAGGCCGGTGCCCTGACCCGTCGGGTCTGTGGTTTTGGTTTTTGGTTGGTTTACAAGGAGACCAAAATGACAACCGGTTGCCGGACTCTCTTGGGAGGACTGGAACCAGCTTGTCTGACGCCGAGGGCCGAGCGCGGGTATCTAAACCCTTGATCCACGCCAAGAGCATGTTCTGAAACTCCTGGTGGTTTGTCGGCGCCAAAAGAAATCTCGCGATTGTTCCTAGACCTCTTGCGGCATTGGTGAAGCGCTGAGCATCATTCTACTTTGGTCCATGTCTAAAAGCACCCCCAAAGGGCCACCATTGAGCACCTCGAAAGCGCCGTTGGGTCCTGAGTCAGCTTTTCCCGGAGCTCTGACACCATCTGGTCCGTCTGGGGATCCAAGTCCCTGAGCCAGACTAAGGCGTGGGCGGCGGGGAATTCCCCCTTGGTATGTGGAACTCCGCCTATCCTTCCGCAACAAGTGGGGAGATGGTAGTTGTCGTAAATACATGTATATATATATATATATATATGTATATGTGTATATATATATATATATATGAGTATGTATATATATATATATATATTACATACGCATATCCTTCTGAAACAAGGATGTCCTGACCTTCAAACATAACTTTGACTCGTAACCATGCGCCTACCGCTTGCAAAGCAGGCAGATGGGTTTGTCTCTACATGGGATCCCCAAAGGGTCGGGCCCCGCATCAAGGCACCCGACCTGAAGGAAAGGAAGCCCGTCTCGTCCTTCTTCGTGAGCTCCGTCCACAGGCTCCTGCATACGTTTGGAGAGCTCGCTCATGGCAGGGGATCCTCTCCCTACCCCCCGGAAATGGGAGTAATTCTGAGCCACATATGCTCGTTCCATCTCTTGTTCCCCCAAACCGCAAGAAGTAGCCATCAAAACATGGTGCTTCCAGTGCCTTACCATCAAATGATACAAGGTTACACCGGGCGCCTGGAGCTCACCTCTTTTTGAAAGCGCCTATGTCTATTGTTGCTGTTCTTTGGGTTCAATGAGAAACCAAATGATATCGAAGCCTATTTGGGGTCAACATTCCAATGGTAGTTTCACGGAGATGGGAGATGTCTGAGTCCCTGTTAAAGTTGATCTGTCAAGTTCTTCATGTCCTTCCAAATTGACCACAAACAGCTGGATATTTTGGCCGAAGCTTACGTAGTGCCGCGTGGCTGCGAGTGCAGTTTGATTAGTGTGAACCTGTCTGACTAGGTTGCCAACCCCTGTATGAATCCGGATAAAGAACACCCTTCAATGTCCATTAAAGAACGCAGGAGAACACCCTCAAATATGATTGTTGGACAGAATCTCCAAAGGATCTTACCCCTGTGTCCGTCCAATCCCCCGATCAGCCTCACTTCCCCGCGGAGGCCAAGGCGGCTCAGCACCAGGCAGAACCTACGCCCGAAGGGTGCCAAGGAAACCATCTTTGGGACCCGCGAAAGCAGCCCAAGGTGTCACCATGGCCTCCGCGGCCCCGAAAAAAAGCGGAGGTCCCAGCGAAAAGCTAGGGCAAGCGGTTCCCTTGCGCATGGGGTTTCGACCGTTCCTCCTGTTGGCCGGCTAAGTGGGTAGAAGCGTCGCTTGTCGTGGTGCTGGCCAAGAAATTGCGGTTGCTGTGAGAATTGCAATGCGCAAGAAACGCTACCCAAGCATGCGAGGAGACTGGCTTTGGTTTTGCAGATGCAAGGGCACGCAAAAGCTGACCGTTGCATTGCCAAAGCCAGGAAGCTCCGAATCTGGGTGCAAAACTATGGGTGGTTGAGCCGTGTTGTTTGGCTGTTTCCAAGTCATTCGCGTGAACTCAAGAAGAATCAACAGTCACATATCCTTTCATCCTGGTGGCTCGGACCTCACCAGCCGTACCAGGCAAGGCAGACCCTCCAGGCCAATGGTGGCACAACTGTCTGGGTGTCGTGCAGCCGAGAAAGCCGAGGGACTGCGAGCATGCTGTGGCCCAACACCCAAAGGAGTGCGGCTACCCGGGGCAAACCGCCGAACTGCAGCGTGTCCCTTCCGGCCCGGGGGCAGCGTGTCCCTTCCGGCCCGGGGCGCCGGGCTCGCCGAAGGTGACGCGCCCCGCGCCATCCGGATCCAGCTCCTCGAGACAGGAAAAACCAGAAAAACTCCCAGGCGCTTTGCCTGAGCCAATCACTTCCCACACTTCCGACTCCGGCCCCCCAGACCCCCCGAACCCCCCAGAAGCGAAAACGAACCAGTTCCAGTTCCAGTTCCCCAGTTCGCGCCTCCCGCCAGGCGTGCAAGAGCGAGCCGAAGCGCCGGCTCAGCGCCTGCCGGAAGGCCGCCGCCTTCTCCTCCGTCCGAGTGACTCGAGCGCGGGGAGGGGGGGGGAGGGGAGGGTTTTCCGGGCTGAAGAGACGTGCTTGGGAGAGAAAGCAGAGAAATGAAGAGCACATACTCGGGAACTGAAAGGTCAATCTGGCTCTGGAAACTTCGCCTCTCAAAGTCTTTCTCATCAAACAGGCCATCTCTCTCTGTGTCAGAAATAGAAGGCTCCCCGCAACCCACAAATCACAAGTAGAAATCGCATGCAGTACACTCTCAGCAAGATCAGGCACATGCCAGCGCAACATAAAAGGCTGAAGCACATCGGGACGTTGGAACTCACCGGTCAGATTCTTAAGGGTTGCAAGGCTTGTGAGGCAGTCCTTCGAAGGTTGATGCCATGAACCCCAAGCGTTTGTGCTTTGACCATGCACCTCCAAGTATTTCAGGCTGTCCAGAGTTGAGTTGACAGCGGCCAATTATCGTTGTGTCGCGCTGATGGCAGAGTGGCAGCCAAAAGGCTAGCCAAAGCAGGCACAGGGGAGCAAACTCCTGCAATGCATCTGAACCGGCCCCGCCTTCTTCTCCTCTTTGGGCCTCAGACGTAATCGCAAAAGCGGCCTATTCTCATCTTGAGCCTTTACAATGAGATGTTCCTGTTTGCCGTCAGCAGTCTGGATGTTTCTTGTTGTTTTGCCAACGTCAGAGTGTGAATGATCAAAACATACCAACCACATGCGGCATGCAACAGCCATCTTTGGGAGACTGAAGGAGGCGGTTGAAGCAAGAAGTGCGGGCCAGCTGCCTTCCTGGCAATGACCCCCTAAGCAATCTCCACTTCTTTCCCACACATCAGACCATTCCAACTCCTATCTGGCCCATTTCTCTGTTCGGCCAACATCTGTGCGTTTGCGCCATCTCGGGGCCCCGCGAACTGGCCACCGCCGGCCCCTCCGGCCCCTCCGGCCCCTCCCCAGCCATGTGCTTCTTCCTGAGCTGCAAGGTCAAAATAGGGAATTGGACCCGAATGGGCTGTTGCCTTTTGGCCTCCCTTTAAACCAACCTTTATTTTATGTGTTGGTTATCATATATATATATATATATATGAAGTTCCGTCAAAATTTGTTGTTCACAGTAAGTACGTTCGAATTTAGAGAGTCCCCTATCGTTTTCCAAAGTTTGGTCTGTAGCACAAAGGTATCGTTTTTTTGAGAGTCCCCTATCGTTTTCCATGGCTTCAAGCACCTTGAGCTATGTGGATGTCCAAGTGTAGACTACTTTCCTTTTCCGTAAATTCTGACCGCGCTTCATATATATATATATATATCCTTTATTGTTAAAAGAAAAAATGCGAAAGGACCACCTACCTGCGCTCCCTGTGCTTGGCACGCCAGAAAACTCCACGGGGGAAACTTTGTCGCCAAGCTGAGCAGGCAAGTCATGATGCAGCTGGGATGGAAATATGGGCACTTTCCACTAGCTGAGTTGGGAAAAAATCGCCATGACTGTCGACCCGCCGAAACCACACCACTACAGATTCCTCCAAAACAGAAGTCCTCCCTCTGGTCCAGTTGCCCGCAGGCTCCCCAGAGCTTGTGCCACCGAACCCCCGTACTACCCCCCCTGCCACGCCGAGCGGCCAAGCTTCCGGATCAAAGTCCAGCAAGGTCAGCGCCTGGGCTGAGTGTCTTGAGACTTGTCCCAACGAGTTGATGGTACGGATGGACGAAATCCACTTTGGAATGGATGAAACCCTATGAAACCCTATGAAACCCTGTGAAACCCTATGAAACCCTAGAAACCACCTGGTACAGGATTCAAAGTCCATCCACAGTAGCTTCAAAAAAGGATGGATTGCCAGTGTTTCCCTCCACCAAATGGTTCCCACGGAACAATAAGCCATCCACGCCTTGGAGGAAGGACTTCTGAGCATGTTGAAGAGCTTCGAAGGATTCAGGTCGAGGCCCAACCTGGGTCGCATCGGGTTGTTGCTCTGGTTGGACAAATCGTCGCATGGTGAATGATTCCAGGTCACATCCGGGCAAACCCGCAAACACCTACTGAGGCCGCAGCAGTTGCACCACTCGGCGAAAGCCAGGCTCCTCCGCGACTAAGGGAGAGGCCAGCTGAGGGACTTGGCCCATTGGCTCAGGCACTGAGTGTCAGCCCCTCATTCCACCCTCCGTGATATCCCCCAACCAGTTGTTTGTGTCGATGTCAGGAATGCAGGCAGCCCTCACGGCCCGTGGACCGAGGGCTCTCGCAGACTCTTTGGGTGTCATTTTCAAGGGTGCCCCCCTTGTGAGGTTGCTCTCCGGGCAAAACAGGGAAAAACCGCCCATTTTTCAGGTCCCCTATAGTACGACACTGTGCAGATGGCCCTTTTTGGCCAGGCCCTGATCACTCGTCTTTCGATTCATCGAAGGCCCCGCGCAGCTGTGCCACGGTCGCACCCAGAAGGGCGCAAAGGAAATAACCTGAGCTTGCGCTTGGCTTGAGGACAAGTAAAACTAAGTCTGCGCCGTTTGCCGGACAAACTGCCATACAAATGTACCACTTTCTCCAATCAAGCTGCCTGCACATACAGAACATCTGGAACAGAAGTAATGGCTGAGGCCAAACTGCGTTTGCAACCAAGCGCAAGTGCAGCCTACCATCGGCAAGATTTGACAAGGAAGATAAAGACAGCGCAATCATCTTCAAAGAAACATGCAGGGGTGAATTCCGACTAGGGAGCCTTTGGGATAAACATCCTTTCTGTCCACCAAGCTTAGATGTAGCGGCCATACATCAAAACCTCAGCCTCTCCTTCTCCCCCCCGCAACATGAAACATCCTCGCCTGCACCTATCCTTTTCCAAATACTCCTGCCCCAGAAAACCTCGAAAACACAAAAACACACACAGATAGATACACACACACACACACACCCACCCTGGCGACGCCGAGCCGCCGCAGCTGGCGCCGGTGATCAGCAATGTCCACAGGTCCGGATACTTCGCCGGCGGCGGCACCCAGGCATGGAGCCCGTGCAGCAAACCCGCCACCAGCACCCACAGCCTGGCCGTCGCGTGGTATTTGCCTTGCCCAAAATGAAATGGGAATTCATGTCCACCAGTCAGTGTTGAGGGGTCTCCAATAAATTCCACAGCGCAAATACCGTGTTTGGTACTGAGATGTTGAAGGTCTGTGCGCACAGCAAGCCCTTATGCTCAAAGAATCGTCATCAGTTAACCATGGGGATTTGGCATGTGTGCGTTTTGGTTCGCCTCCAATCCTTCCTGCATCACCTTCCAAGACGACATTTGAAAAAGATATGCGTGAATTCACTTCTACCTGTCAATGCAGAGCCTCATGAATTTCAGTGGCCACCCCTAAGCACGGCTCCACGCTGGGAAGCCTCTGCTTGACGTCGGGCTCGAGGTTCGCTTCTGTCGGCCTTGGGCCTTTCCCTATGGCCCTACGGCCGCATCTCCAATGAACAAACGTGGCACGGAAACTTAGAATCGAATTAAGGTGTCCATCCCGAAGCCACTGGCTTCGCAAATGGATGCTCAAAGGCTGGTAGATGGGTCTTTCAGCATGGCCAAAATGATCCAAAACCGTTCCATTTTATTTCTTCCGGTGGCTTTCCAAAGGGCTTTCGGACCTGGGCTGCCGGGCAAGACCAAGGCACGGTGGCCCTTTCCCACAAGGAGCAGCAGGCAGAGCTGCGTGCCGAAGTAGGCGAGCCACAGCTGATCCTTGACCATCAGCGGATACCTGCGCTCAGCTTTCTTGGAACGAACTGGCTGATCCGTGGTATAGGGAGCGTACATAAAGGAAGATGCGGGGGAATCATTTCTGTGCGGGACTTTGATGTGGCGACTCGGTGCTACGACAATCATCCTGGTTGTGCAGCTCATCAAATATTCAAGCCGCCCGACCAATCCACAGGGGGAGTCCCCCTGGTGCGAGAAGTTCCGTCTTTTTTCCTTCCACTCCCTTGGATCCTTTGCGCTAGTAGTCAGCCAGCCCTGGGGTCCAAGAAGTAGGACTAGACATACCCAACCAACGAAGTCACAAATAGGTTGTCCCCAAAAATCCAGGCAAGGCGCATGGAGAAGAGGCTCACCATCTGGAAGTGCAGCACAAGCAGCCAGTCCCGGCTGCGACGAGGCAGCAGGCAGCAGGCTACAGCCGGGAAGAGCACACCCTTCTCATGGACCTTGGGATTCGTCCCACACCTTCCACCAGCTACGAACACAACCTCAATTCCTCCACTCTCCTCCACTCTCCTCCACTCTCCTCCACTCTCCTCCACTCTCCTCCAGTTTCCTCCAGTTTCCTCCAGTTTCCTCTCTCTGGCTCGTGAGTCACTTGTTCACAGGTCCTCAAACACCCGGCTTTTCAGCAGGACTTGCCTGGAAGGCGAAGAGGAAGAAGGACAGCGACGAGCAGAAGAGCGCCGCACCGAAGGTGCCTGGCCAAGGCCGCCAGCCCGCGTTGGGCTTCTGCAAGCCGCATTTGGATTTTGTTTTTTGGATTGGGCCATGATCCAAGTTGCCAGCGCACGTGTTGAAACAACTCCGAGTTTCCTGCAAATTCACGGCGAGGGCCGTGGCTCTTCTTACTCTCTTCCTGGTCTGGGCCACCCCCGCCCTGGCAACATCTCGCTCATCTCAACAAAAGTGCGAACTTGGTGCGCAGTCATGGCCAAGTGCCTGATCACGGTCACCCATGCCCCAGACCCTGAACGAAACCCAACTTGGGGATGTCCGCTTCTTCAGACGTGTCTTCTGGTTCGGGATTTACTCAGTTTGGTGGCTCCCAGTTAAGGCTGGGCCAACGCCAACCCCCTGGTGTAAGCCACCATGTAAACAGACGCCTTTTATTTGCCTTTCAAGAGGCGCTTGGTCGCTTCAAATGGGAGCTCAGCTCCCCATTTCATAGTGATTTCTATTCTCGCGGCTTCTGGGCTCCCCTATCCATTCTCAGAAAACTAGAGCGTGTCCTCTTTGATGATACCCCTTGGGGATGAGACAAACCCACATTTTGCCCCCAACCCCCCGCCCCTGACCCAACGACCCGACGCCCCGCCTGCGCCGGCGCTGCGTCTCAGCGTGCACAGCGCCGAGGGCAGCAACGCCAGCAGCGTGCAGAGCGCGCAGAGCGGCGGCACCTCGGTCTGCAACGGCAACGGGTCGTCGAAATGGGGATCCTGGCCCTGCCAAATTGCGGTCCTTCAGGAAACCGTTGGGCAAAAATGCAGGGTTGACTCGAACATCTGCTCAATGGTTTTGGAACGTCGAGCAACACAAATAATTGTGAACAACTGACCATCACAACATCAATGTGATGTAGCCGCGGTCGAAAAATATTTTGGCAAAGTGTGGAAGCTGCACCCGCAAGAAAGCTTCTTCTGCTCGAATTCGTCGGCGTGCGCTTCCAGCGCTGTGCAAATCCTACAAAGGTGAGTGCTGCCCGAACTTCCGAGGGACTTGTTGCGGCTACATGCTGAAAGCCATCCAGTGAACCACAATGATTGATTCGCCAAATGGCCGAACTCGGATCGGACTTTCCTTCTGAGCACCCGGCCTACCCACTGCGAAACGGATCCGAAAATGGTGAAAGGCACTCCTTAATGTCGGATCTCAGGGATGACAACACTTCAAAAAACCTCGGAGTTCCCATTGCGAAGGCGCCAAATGCGCCGGCAGCAGCCGCTGGATCTTCACAACCTCGGAGAATTGGCGCTGCCCGAAATGGGAGCCATGTAGGATCTGTCTCTCTCTCTCTCTCTCTCTCCTCTCTCTCTCTTTCTCTCCCCATCTCCGCCTCTTCCCCATCTCCGCCTCTCCGCCTCTCCGCCTCTGCCCCTCTCCCCCTCTCCCCCATCTCTCTCTTTCCCTCTTGTTAAATGAAATACGCTTTCCTTGTCTCACTGCACTCCTGTACATATACAGTACTGCCGCTGTACCCTGTTGGCTCCACAGGGCCCTTGAGTTCACTACTCATTGCAGCTCTGGCAACGAGTGGCAAAAGTGCGCGAGTCCTGCGTTTTGGTCCTTGAACTACACGATAGAGAATATCTCTAAGATCCCGGTGATCCAGGAGTACTACAAGTACAAAGTTTCAGTTCAATCCAGCCACATCGATACACAGGTACAGGCTACAGCCGCCTCTCTTCGATGGCAGCTAGGGCAAGTACGAGGAATGGAGGAACAAGTTCATTGCCTACATCCAGTACGAGCTCACCACTACGGGCCAGAATCTCCTGACGGTTACGGGCTACGTGCTTGATGATCCCACGGCCTCCTGAATTACCTACAGTTGGGGAAACGGATATGCGTGGAGCTATCGGCTCGTGATCAAGGTGAATACGTTGATCGAGGAGCTCACTACAGCTCGATGGCGATTGACTACATGCGGCAGCGAAGCTACCAGGTACGTCACCGTATGCGGCAGGACATCCTGGACTACTACGGGTCCTATGCCTACAACATCGTGCACCCTGACTTACTTCGAGCCTTCACTTACTACGTGATGAAGCACGGCATTTAATTCCTCTACATCTTCCATCGACATGCTACGCGGGAGTCCAGAACTCCTTCAACATGCACTGGCAGCTGACCTGCCACCTTCTCCGTCTACATGATTGAGGAGAGCTACGGCAAGTAGATCATTCTACATCGCGGCACTGCTGGACTACGAGAGTCCCTACGTCATAGAGTGATTTCCTCTACCGGTTGGTGAGTTGTGTACAAATGGTACCCGTTTCTGTCTACCTTTTTTGTACAATGTCTACTTTGCCAGTTGAGTACATAGGAGCCTTTTCCTTCTGCACCAATCCCTACTAACTCATACTGTTTGTACATGAGCATGTTTTTGCGACAATACGGAACTTCACTACGTATGCACTACGCTTGTTCCAAGGGAGCATGTTACATGAAATACGGTTTCCTTGTCTCACTACACTCATGTACATATACTGCTACTGTACCCTGTTGGCTCCACAGGGCCCTTGAGTTCACTACTCATTCCAGCCATAGCTACGAGTGGCAAAAGTGCGCGAGTCCTGCCTTTTGAAGTACAACTTTCCCGCCTCTCTCTCTCTCTGTCTCTCTCTCTCTGTCTCTCTCCCTCCCTCCCTCCCTCTCTCCCTCCCTGAAGTGTCCGTCCCAGCAAGATTCACTTCAGTGGAAGAGGAAGTAAAGTCACGCGTTCATGCCTCAGGCAAGTACGTGCTACCCTGCCTCGGTCTTCCACTGTTAGAAGTGCGAAACGAAGAACCACAGAAACTTCACGAGGACGACTCAAAGAACAAATCAAGGACAGCGGACCCAGGTTGCAACTGAGCTGTATATAGTCAAGGGCAACCCGAGCTTTCTGAGCAGTTGGTCATCTTTCAGCGTCCGCCTCTCCCCTGTAGGCAAGCCACAACCGAAATGGAACACCAAAAGTTGGCGACCTTGTCCTCGCGCCGGGGCCCATGAAAAACAACTTGCTCGCAAAGAACATCAAGATCTGGTGCCTAATAAAAAATGAAAAAAGCTGGAAGGAAAATTGGCCTCACTCAACTCGGCAATCAAAAACCCGAGTGCCATTGATTCCAAAGTCCTCGTAGAGGCCTCGTGCGAAGGGGAACATCCGGTGCAACACTTGGAGCACTGCCTGTCGAGCCACAACCAACCCCCGCAGGGGACGATTCCGTGGGCCCAGACATGCAAATGTGGTGCGTTTCTGTTTCATGTTGCTTTAAAAATGGCTGCCAAGAAATTGGACAACAGCCAATGGCTTGGCGGATTTCTCAAGAGACACTATGCTACGCAGGTTTGCTGCGATCAGTAAGTGGGCAGCTGTAGCCATGCCTGCAGCACTTTCGGACGGCGTTACGTTCATCTCTTCTGGGCTAATCGACTCAGTGGTCCATGTTTCGTTGGGTTCCGTTTATTGCGTTGCGGGCAATCTTCCTCAATCAATCTTTTTAACCAGCTGTCAACGGTCCTGATCCAAAAACATGTCGACTCGCCACCATCACCCCCCCTCCCCCCCCCCCCCGCACACCACCTCACTAACAGGAAACTTGAATAAAGTCGTGTAAGCAATTGTGGTACAAACATGTCCAGCGCCCCACACTCCCCTCACGCCTGCACTGGTCGCGGTCCCAGCAGCCAGGGCGACAGCAGCAGCCCCGCCATACCCAGCACCGTGGCCCCCGCTTTCGCCACCCCCAGGACGGCGCCCTTGGCCCCGCGCTGGAGGCAAAGGCCCAGGATGCCAAAGAAGAAAGCAGGGGCCTGGGCCGCTCACATCGCTAGATTCCGCACTTTGCCACGAGGAATCTCGCTTCAAACACAAACTATGCAGCCCGGCCGGCCTTTGAGAGGCAACCGTGCTTTTCTACAAAACCTCTTTCCTGTACCTCTTCAAAAGCAAGTGACTTGAATAGAAGTCGAGGGGCGTAGTATAGCGCGATCTGCTTGAAGAGCAATGCGGCGGTAAAAAAGACCTCGACAATCGCAAGAAGCGAAGCAGAAAAAGAACAGCACACGGAGCCCGAGCCCCAATCGATTCGAAGGGAAACACAAAACAAAAAGCCTTCTTTTTCTTCGTTTGCTGTTTATTGACATATGTCCATATGTCCATTTGGCTGCCGCATCTGGGGTGCCGCGCACTGGCCAGCACCACATCTCTGCGGGCCACGAAGCTGGCACCAAGGAGGCAAAGGCCGAAGCACACGCCGTTGTACTGGAAGTGCCCGTGGTCGATGATGAGCTCAGCGCTCGGAGAGGGAAAAACAGGAAACAGGGGCGGTGGGTGGGTGGGTGGGTGGGTGGGTAAAGGGTACTCATGCTACTGCGTTGATTGCGCCGCAATTCCAGTCAGCTTGTACGCCAAGGTGTGTGGCGCACTGCGAAAGTGGAGCATTGTTGAAGAGGTGCGACAACCTGGCTTCTGATACAACATGGTTGCTTGTGTGTTTGGATCAGATGCATGTTGAGGGATGAATGCATCCCCCCTGACGCAGAAGGCAGTCGGCCTGCCCAGGCACCTACCCAGCCACAACACCCTCTGGCCCAGAAAGCCAACCCACCCCACCCTACCACCAGAGCCTGTCGCGATCCAAGAAGCAGCAATGCCAGACACCCGCCATCCACCCCAAGGGCAATGATTGTTTGAGAATGTGTTGCCGGGGCATAACAGTCACAGACTCTGTCAAAATCACAAAATGATCTTGAAATCCAAAACAAATGCCAGAAAAACTCCGATGGCGAAGAGGCAACCCACCCCTCGGAATCCGCGCTAAGGGCGGCAGCAGCCACAGCAGCGCCAGCCGCTTCGGCCCATGTCGCCCGAAGCTGCGCGAGGCCAGCAGCGCACCTCCGTGTTTTGGCTTCAGATGGCGACTGCAACATGGATTGCTGTTGTAAACACGAGCATCCTCAAAGCTGTCGCCATTGTGCTACTTGCAGAGTTGGTTTCGGAAGCGGCCCGCTTGGACGGCTCGCGGCGCGGGCGGCCAGGTCTCCCGCCAGCTGGCATACCAAGTGGCAACAAAGCTCGCAGCGCGCAGTGGCAGCAAAAAAAACAAAAGTGCGTCACATGATGACACCTTTCCTGCCTTGCGTCAAGTCCAAAGTCCAAACTCGCTTCGGATGGAGCAAATCCGAGTGAGGCGACATATTCCGGCCGCAAACTCGTCCCAAAGTTTCAGGTTTGGGACAGTGTCTAAAGAGAAAGCTCCGGGAAATTCACCTGGCTGCTCCACTTTCGGCCCGCCTGGCAAGTAGACCAAGAGGTCCGACACCACCACGGAGAGCCGCATGAAAACCTCCCAATCCGTATGCTTTTCACGCTTCTCGCCCGCCCCTTCGCAAAGCAAAAACAAATCACTTCTGAAACATTTCTCGTTGCCAGCTGGGAGCAGCCACTGACTGGCCCCATTCTTATTTGTCGACTGTGGAGGGACCAAATCCTGCACCAGCTCATTCCAGTTTTAATACTCACACATCCCAACTGGTGCGAAATAGTTTTTGTCCAGCCGCAGCAGGTGTTCATATAGATGAGCCCCAAAACACTCTCAAAAATAGGTGTGGAAATTTCACCTAGAATGAAGGGTTTCTTTTAGGTTTCCCTAAAACCCAACCTGAAACGAGTAGCCTCAAAACACGCATACGCGCACACCAAATCATGTTGCTGCTCTCCCTTCCCGCCCGCTGGAGCGCCTTGCATCTTACGCCCTCGTACCCTCGGCTGCTGTGGAGCTCAAAGCAGGCGGGATCCACCAGTCGCCCAATCATCCTGCAGGGCGTCTGCGGATTTGCTGGGGGTTGGACACTTTTGGACCTGGTAGATATGAGCACAACTAGGTGCAGCCCCTTCCCAGGTCTTAAAGCATCTAAGCCCTCAAAAACTTCGCAAAGGTGAAGGCCCTCAGAATCGCCAGGGGCCTTGTCTATGTCGAAAACGGAGCAACGGGAGCCCTTTCAAAGACCAAAGAGATGGACGGGCCCTTTCAGACCCCCGCTCTCACTGTCCCGAGCAGCCATGAGTGAAAGGCTGTCAGGGGCGGATAGTCCAGCCCCCAGTACCTCGGATCACAAAGCCAAACCCGCACCATCCATCCGAACCATCCCGAAACCCATCCCACCTAAACCCACTGCAAACCAAGGCTAAGCGGCTAAGCAACCACCTCAAAGCACCCCAAGCTCACCCTCCGAAACCCGCCCAGAAAATCACCCTTGCCTTTGTGGACCCCAAATGGAGAAACACAAATTGGCCGCAATCTGCAAGCTCCTGCCAAAGCCTTGAACGCGGCCCTCTCTCTCTTCCTTTCAAGACCAGCTGCGACTCAATGATTCAAAATCTCGGATCCAGAACTTCGGGGTTCGATTGACGTCCAAGCCCCCCGCTGCAGGTCGTTGTCCAACCCCGGCTCGTACCACTGCTGCACCGGCAAAGCTGTGGTCAGCTCCATCCAGTGCCGCTGGGCCTGCGCACACTCCGTCTCCTGACTGCCTGTTCCGGACTGGCTATTTGGGGTTCGGCCCTCACGTGCAATCACGAGACTGGTGGAGTTGAGGGCCCGAATTTCTCTCGTTCGACACAGACTCTAGATGAATCCAAGAGCGAATCGCCCATGACGGGCACGACAAGTCCCAAAGCTCTGCGCCTCGTAGTCGCCGAACATGGGCGGCTTCCCCTGCGCGGGCTGTGCGGGCGTGGGGCACACGGCCCGGGGCCTCGGGACCTACACGGCGATTGCACCCTGGCCTGTCCGGAGTGAGGGCACTGCGCGAAGCCCTCAGATTGGGAGAACGCTCAAATCCCTCGAACACAAGACGGGAACCCCTCTTGGATTAGCCAGTCTCCGCAGAGCCACCGCAGAGCCACCACAAAACGACGAATCTGTCTAAAAGGAGCGAGTCACCATCTAACAAATGAGCTTGTTGTTCTTTGTGTTTATTTTTTTTGCCAGGGGTACCCTTGAATAACCTCAGAAACACACGAGATGTGCGCAACATGAAGCTTGGCCCAAGGCAAAGTTCTTCCCCACTCGTCTTCATAGGGCCCCGGGACACACAAGAATCCTGGGCCCCGCACCCATCTCAGCAGCAAGCCCAGGCCCACAGCGCCCAGCTCCAGGGGCTCCATACCGACTCCAGGAGCCTCCCCCTCTTCTGGTGGAGTTGTGGCAACGCTTTTCTCGTTTTTGCGTCTCTCCGTGTCTCTGTGCACATCATCTGTGCGTGTGGGTGCTTGTTCCTTTGTGCTTGGTGGTTTGCAGCGCGGTTGTTTTGCCCCCTGAAGGCACCAAGGATGCTTGCAAGTGTCTCTCCGGCCAACAGAGGTTAACGACCACTTGTGGAGTTTCAGCCCCACGTGCAACAAGAATATGCGGCTCAATGTCTGCATGATTTGTTCACGGGAGGGGCGCAACCCTTAATTCTCAAACCGTGTTGGCATCACGGGGCGCATCTCTTTGCGTGAAGATGATACGAAGAGAGCCCGCGTCGAGCTGTTGCCACATGATACGGGTCTTGGTTGCAAGGAGTCTGCATTAAGTCAGGTTATGCTGCGAATCTCTGTAGCTTCTACTGAGTTACTGCTCTGTCCATGCTCTGTCAGGCGCTAACCGATCATTTCCACAAAGCTCAGCATCTCTCCAAGGCACAAGCCGGAGCTACATGTACCACTCCAGGCACCACAAGCCCTACAAAAGTCATATGGATTCAGTAAACTGCTTCAACCACAGGTCTCCTCCAACCCAACCGGCAAGCTTTGCGCCAACGCCCCTCCTGCACTTGCCCGTCCCGGTGCACGTCGATACACTGGAACCAGGCGGTGATGAGGTCCCCATACTTCTTCACCAACGCCTTCTTGAAAGCGCCTCAGGGTTGGACTGTTCGCATGTGGAGCCTAGCCGCCGCATCAGACGTAAAAGTGCAACATGAAATGCAGTGCCACTTTGGATTGGAGGTGCCTTCCAGTAATAAATGCCTCAACTTTCATCTGAGACTATCGACCGTGGACGCGAGGGGACATTGGAATCCGCTTGTTGGCCGCTGGTCAATCCGCTGGTCACCCTGATGAGGCAATCACCCCCCAGCACCACAGACCGAACCTCAGCAAGAATTCCTCGGTGCCGCGCTCAGGTATCGGCTCACCTCCGGATCCACGTCCGCCAGGCACACCTGGGGGGTCTGCACAGTTTCGAAAAAGTTGTATGCAAGCGCCATCTTTCAGGCAGTCACAATCGGGCGAAAAGACAGCCAACAAGCTTCATTGGGTCCTTGGGGTTGCGTGCCAGGACATTGGCTGACGTGAATGGCTTCCTGACCTGGAATTCGCCCCTATCATCTCCCGCGCACGAGTCTGAGACCGTCACCTCCAAAGCACCACTTCTTTCGTTTTCGAGGCCGAGGCCATGCCGCCCCGCACATCCAGCTCTGCCCAAAGCCTGAGGAGCCAGTTCTTTGGCGAAAGACGCGAAGTCCATTCCGAGCAAACCCGGCGAAAGCGCACCCTGCGGGTCAGGGCGCAACCACCGGGGACTTGTCGCCCCTCCGCGCAAGACCAACGGCGGCCCTTTTCCCAGCATGTCTTTTTGGGCCATGTGCCCGAAATTGCATGCTGCTTGAAGGTTCGGGTGACTCCATCCAAGCCTTCTGCAAACCAGAAAGAGCCAGCCACCCGTGGATGTGAGTTCGGCTGGGCTGGAACCGTACGGACGAGCAAACGTGTGTTGTCATGGTGTCACCGGTATCCCCATTCCTTCCGGTTCTTGGTGCCCGGGCTTCTTGAAGTTGCCATGGAAGCCCACGACCTCGAGGTGCATATCTTGGCCACATCGATCTTGAAAAACTTGGGTGACTCGAATTGGTGTCCGTGACTACAAGACTTCGACCGCAAGGTCCTCGTGTGGAGGGAGGAACTCCATGTCGGACCTCCCTTCAGAAACCCTGGTTTCTCATGATTCCCGTGAATAAATATGGCTGTGGGTCAAAAATAGGTACCCAAAATGAAACCCTGGTAAATGGAACCAAGGACTAAAACCTGCGGTCCCCTTGTTGTTTTGTTTTGACCCACACCCATACCAACAACTTGCGGCTCCATTCCCACGGTTTCTTTCCCGCAGTTTGGGATTTCGCAACCATCCGCAGAGCCCACTTTTTTCGAGGATCCGGGCGCGACATGCCTGGCAGAACTCCACGAAGCCCAGGCGCCCCGAGTTATCCTGGACGCAAAAGCCGCCAGGATTAAAAAAAGTTGACATGGATTTGGAGATCTGAGTCATAATCAAACCTGGTATTGAAATAGTCTACCCAAATCCATGTAAGGAATTGACAAGGCGGCCGCGCCTATTTCTGGCTGGGACTGCCCCCTTACTAACCTTCATCTACCCGAGTTTCGATTGTGGCTCATTCGGGATTTAGGGAGGTCCCTCAGCTCCAATCTTGGAACATGGAAATTCCAGGGGTGACCCTCCCTCAATCCGTTTGGAGAGGGAGGGGCTTGTTTTGGCCCTCGACCATCCAAAACCATCGATTAGAAAGCCACATCCCAGGAGGAGACATCCAAATCCCAGGAGTCTCAACCGGACAGCAACTGGATTGGATCAGCGCGCAATTGGAGTCGACACTGAGACATCGTCTCCAACTCTCCATGACCTCTCGCTGCAACTGAACTGCAAGAGGGAAAACTGGGACCCCCGGCCGCGTCCAGTGCCCGCCAGCCGCTGATGATGGTCCTCTGTGTCACGAAAAGGAAAAAAAAAAACGGAATTCTGACACATGCCCGTTGCACACTGGCCGATTTGCGTCCGACAGCGCAAAGGAACAGGTCAAGTTCAACATGTCCAGCATCTCTCGGGGCTTTTAGGGCCAGGAATTCGGCATTCTCACGTGCCAATTCACCAATGTTTAATTCCCAAACATCACAGCCACTATTGTCAGGACGAGATGGTCTCCAGGCCCCTTTGAAAAAACTAGCTCGAGTGAGGGCTTTGCATGCCTAAGTTTCCCAATGCCTTTACGAATCACCAACCACCAATTGCAGAAGTCACGATGGAGCATTGCAACCCTTTTGTTACCAGCGTGCGGGAACAGAGAGAGAGAGACAGAGAGAGAGAGAGAGAGAGAGACAGAGAAAAAAAGAGAGCGAGAGAGAGAGAGAGAGTGGGTGGGTGATCTGGAAATTGCGTTTCATGACTGGTGTGGCACTTGGACACCATGTCATTGGCGGCAATCAGCTGGCTTGCCCCAACTAGTGGCAGCCACTTGCATCTGACTGAGCAATTCAATTCAACATGGGGCGCTAATCACTCCCAGTCCATAAACCCTGCACCCTTCCAGTTTTAAGGATCGAATCCTGGTCGGGGGGGATCAGATTTTGGTTGCTTTCCTAAGTACGGCCTTTAGCCACTGCCCCCAAAACAACTGTCACTTGTCATCTCTTCCACATTCCTTTGGCCAAGGCGCCCGAACTTCTTCAGCAGGAAGGTTCGGAACCCCTCCTTGCCCTGACAGACCGCAAGCAAACAGCGCGCAAGCAGACAGCGCAGGTCTGACATGTCAGCTATGTCAGGAACGGCGGATGCATGGGCCGCAAGCGTGCATGGGCCGCAAGCGCGAAAGATATCACTCTTCATGCGTTCAGCTTTAGAACACTTGCTTTGTTGGAAAGGATCCGCTCGGGAACATTCATTTCTACCTGTCTACCTTTCCTTTCTGGGGTCGGCCACCAGTGCAACTTGATTGCTTGGATTGCAACCAAACCCACCCAAGTCCAAGTCTGTCAATCCAGTCCCTGCAATCGCACCCTTCCAGCAACTGCCCAACAAAACGTCATGCACTCCTTCAAAAAGAACAACCTCACCAAAACAAAGCTAGCCGTCCCAAACCCCACCCCAACCCAAATCCCAAGACAACTCAGATCTCGCAAATCTCCCTCGCCCGAAATTCCGGAAAATCGGATCGCCTTGGAGCCCAGAAACTCCACATCCTCGGCGGCCTGGCTCTTGCGCAAGATGTCCCGCTGCATCATCGACCTGACGCCCCAATCAAAATCCGCACTACAAAAAAAGGCGACTTCTCAAGGTTTGGATTTTGTTTTCGGTATGCAAGTGGATGGCGCCGTATGCCTTTTCACCATGCTGATACATCGATGGAAGCGACTGAAGATGCATGGCTCAAAGTGAGCCAAATCGGCCCGCCTCTGCCTCCGTGACTGCAGGCCACTGTGCTGCTGCTGACGCGACAAGAAATTATTCTCCTGAGACAAAGCCTGAAACCACCAGCCAAACAAAGGGCTTCCCTTCAGCAGGGTTGCAAATGGCTTCAACTGGCTGGTGCTAAATCGGGAATGAGGGAATGAACCCAGTCCCCTTGAAGGAATTACAAGGGATGGCTTTTCTCGGGCTCATTCCATGTCTCATTCCCTGCCTATCGCACCGGCAATTCAAGGGTGACGAATTTCACATGGCGCAAGCTGGAACCCGTTTGCTTCGGCTTCAAGTCCTCCTGCTCCCGGCGCATCCGCGCCTGGCACACGAGTGACAAAGGCTCCTCTGAACACGGAACCTGCCAAACAAATGCCAAGAATTGCGGGTGGGTTTGGCAAGATCTGATTGGGAAAAGACCCGGACGAACAGCCTGGCGGATTCCGACTGCCAGCTTCAGGCAAGAACTAGGTCCCAGGTCCCCAGGTCCCCGGGCCCAGGTCCCAGGTCCCAGGTCCCAGGTGGGAACCCTTCCGGTTGCCAGGCGCCCACCCCGCAGCCCTGGGAAACCGACGCTGAACCGCCCCGCCTTGGTGCCTGGCAGCTGCGGGCAGCTCGCAGCCTGGGAAAAAGAAAGGGAAGGAACGCGCTGCGCTCTGGAACGAAGCCGGTGTCTGGCTTGTTGGGGAAATGGCGTGGTGTGCTTTGTTGGCCAAACCGTTTTGCTGAAGGTACCTGGGAAACTGCCCATGTTGGAGGCTCCCCTATTTTGAGACAAACTCACGTGAACGCCGCTTGATCCTACTTTCTTCAAGGTCGGCCAATCAATGAGTCACAACCAAGTGAGTGACCGCTGACAGTGGGATTTGTTCCACCATGAAACGCAATGTTGTTTGGCTTTCGCCTTGCTATGATTGCACACTACTCATGCATTGAGACGCACGCGCACACGCACACG